TTATTTGTTAAACGTGGTGGTAAAGGCTGGACCATAGTTCTAGGCGTCTGGCTGACGCATGCACATTCATTTGCTGTGTATAGCTTTAATTTTATGTATAACATGATATACGTTTGTATTTGATATTTCGTAGGACTAGTGACCCTCAGTTTCTGGTACACCCTGTATTTAAAAATCGTTAAAAATATTTTTACGTTATTCCTTGGGGTTGGTTTAGTGGGAAATAATTTTACTTCATCATTGTAGGACCATCGGTTTGTCTGAAATCAATACTGGACACTTTACGAGATTCACCCTGTAGTACTCGCCTAAAATCAATATAAATATTTTGTTACTTAAGTTCTAGCTATGTGATGGACAGTATCCTCTGTTTAGCAATCACTTGTGAAAGATTGAAATATATTTGTGACAATAAAGAAATATTTCATTTCTAAAACAACACTTCACCACGACAACATTTGGTTCCGTTAATTATTGAGATTTTCTATATTTAACAACTTCCCGTTCACCTGACGCATTGTTAACGAATAGAAACATCTGCGTCGTGCTAGGAATTCCAGGAAGGGTCACACATTCCCTTTCCTCTGTTCATAGTTCTCAATATTCTGTAATCTGGACCTTCCAGCTACTAGGTTGTATTTAATGAGTTACTGGGAAATAATTTATCCACTACAACACCAATGCCAATGAACTTTCTGAAATATGTTCGCTGAAAATAACAGATCAGTGTCCGTCCAAAACAAACCCTATGACCTCAAATTTATGAGCTGCATTTGCCGCAATCCGGAAAGTTCGTGAGATGCGTTAATTTAATTTAATGTCATTTTATTTTCCACGGAAATGCCATTTACAATAATAACAATCAGTGAAGATTATAACTAAGAATGTATAAACTTCAAGACTGACTTAGAAACTATACAACATAACAACATTTCATCAACAATTGCATCAATATAATCAATCAACAATAACAGCTACAATACTATCACATAGCAATTTTAAACCTATATATTTACCCTGTCAAACATCAATTTTTCATAAATTTACAAATATGAAAAGGCTAAATTCACATTAGGCCTACATACAAAACACCCCCGCCGCAGCAAACCTGCAGACTGAGCGAATTTCCATTTGCCTGATTTGATTTTCAATTAAATTTAATTACCATTTTTCTGTTAGCCCAACGGTTTTTGAGCTATTTGTGATTAAGTATATTTAGGTGTTTTTATTTATCAAAAATAGGCGAAACCCGTGGAAATCGACGGTAAAGTAACCAAGGTTTTCGACAATTCATCCCATTTAGTTAAATAGTGAGAATATAAAATAAAATATAAAGTCTTAAAAATTTATTCAATGAGTAAAACTACTCCGCCACTGCTAACCTGCAGACTCAGTAAATTTCCATTTGACTGATTGGAGGCTTTATTAAATGTATATAAATAAAAATTAAGTTTATCATGTACCTAGGTTTGCTGACAAAGGAAGGGCAATAGTGTTTTTATTTTTTGTAAAAAATATCAATAATTTAGTATAAAATGAACTAATTTTCCAAGTTTGATCATAATAAATCTAGAAACAAGCAAACTACAATAGTTTACTTATTCATAAGATTAGCTGTGAGTTTTTAATAACAATCTACAAATTTTTGTTGTGTTTATTAAAAAGATGGTGATAATTCTTCACAATTTGAATACTAACCAAAGGAGTTTTCAAAAGTAGATGGAGCAAGTTATTTTAGTAATATTAACTCGTACCAAGTACCGGTATTATTGTATGCAGTGAGGTAATCAACCATATTTTATAGTATCACACTATTTGAAATGTCGTACACCTTGAAAGTAACCGTCGATTTCCATTGGTTTCGCCTGTTTTTGATAAATAAATAAAATATATATACTTAATCACAAATAACTCAAAAGCCGTTGGGCTTAGAGAAAATGGTAAATACAAAAAATGTACCTATGTTTTTAGATAGACCACTTTTTGTATATTTAGTTTTTTCCTGTTTCTCTAAAAATAAAGTCAATATAGCTAAAAATACAGAAATGTGCCGCTACTTTCCAATATATATTGACTTAAAGGATCAAATAGAAGGACGCTAAGGCGTTTTGATTATTAATTATAGTACAAAACAATAAAAAGAAAAATAATTTAAAATAATTCGTATGGACACAGTTAATAATACAATTATTATCCTTACATGTTAACATGAAAACATGAAAACATGTTAAAATTTTCAAAATAAAGTTATTTTACTCAAGTCTTTTTTATGGTTGCATAGTAATTTGTATTACAAAATATTTATGTTGATATATTTTATTGTCAAAATGTAATTTTATTGTAATTAATTGTATGTACTGTATCAGGCTTAAATTTGTATTTTGTTTATAGAAGTTTTTAATGTTTTATAGATATTTATGCGTTTTTATAAGTAATATTTTGAAAACTTTAAGTGCCCTTTTTGCTTTGTTCATAATATGTTAAAGTGTCTTTGTTAAGTTGTCTTTGTGTACTGTAAATATTATTTAAATGTCTTTTTTTTTGTTCAGACTGAGCTGCTTTTAATGGAAGTATCGCTTTTGTAAATAATAGTAAATATAGTGTACAGGTACGACTAAACATTTTATTGCATTGTAATTCATTGTATATATCAGACTCAATTTTTTTGTTTTTATAGTAGTTCTTAATGTTTTATAGTTATTTTTTTTTCTTGTCAACGTGTAATTTTATTATAATTAATTGTACATATTATTCTTAAATTTCTATTTTGTTTGTATTCGTTTTTTAATGTTTCATAGTTTTTTATGTGTTTTTCTAAGAAATTTGTGAACGTTAAAAAGTGTCTGTGTAAACTGTATAGGATATTTAAATGTATTTTTTTTTGTTCAAACTGAGCTGGTTTTAATGCAAGTAACGTTTTTTTATAAATAATAGTAAATAGTGTACAACTAAACAGCTTTTTTAATTTACTCCTTGTATTTCCATTCACGATACATTATGTAACTTACGAAATAATAGAGCCTATATTTCAGTCATTATTTAACGGATCTAACATTAAACATTTTTAGTCTTGATCTGGGAAAAAATATGCCGCACAGTCAAGTTCTCTCAAAAACACGACACAGCAATTAGGGGAACGATTCCATGAGGCGATGCGTTCTCAGCGACCTAGTGAACGACTTCATTAGGTGATTAGTTCTCTTGCCTATGTCTGTGAGGGTAGGGAGAACGGGAAGAAAGGGACGCGGAGAGGGAGATCTCCCTCAGTCCTAATGTCGCACCCCTGAAATTATCCGCATGGCTGCGCCTGCAGACCCAGAACGGACCAGGTCAAATTCAGTCCTGTTGTCACACCACCATTTTTCGCTACACTACAAAGACTAATTATTTTCTTAATTAAGAGTCGGTAGGAGCCAGTAATTTTGCATTGTTTTTGACCGTCAGATGCCAGGCAAACAGTGTTGTCTTAGCGCCGATCAGCAAAAACATGCCTTCACGTTAAAGCATATTAATCATGCACCATAAGCTTGATTACAGAGTAGAAAATGTGATGTAATTCTTAAATATATTTTCCTTGTAAATTGCTTTTTGGTTTTTTTAAGCCGGGTTTTTTTTAAGTGGAGAGCGGAGAGAGGAACGCGGAGAGCGGACTCCTCTTGTCTTAGGTAATTGAATGTTACTGTTTTCCTAGAAGCGGAGCGGACACCATGTTAATCTCTTTTCCGCTTTCTGCGTTCCTCTCTCCGTTCCCAGCTTCCGCGCCTAGGAAACCCCAGCTTTAGAGTTTGAAAAAAATCATAGATTAAGTCAATATACTTATGTAGTTTGACAAAATAATAATTCAAATTAAAAAGCATAAAGCAAACAATATCAATAGCTTTAAAATTAGATATTTTGCAACACTTTTATCTTAATAAACAATGCCGTAATATGTTTCAACCATTAACATTGCAGCTATGGGAAGAAAATCCAAGAGGGCCGGTGGTCCTGCCGACTCTTAAAACAAGACTTTGTATATTTCTTTATTACAGTTAGGAACATCACAAAACTCATAGAATTTTTTAGGTTATGCCTTCAATCTAAAGTTAATATTTCCTTTGGTTGTACAGTTTTGCATGTTGAAAATTGAAACAGTTGACAAAACAATAACAAATCTTTGTTTGGTTACGTTGGGAAAATCCAAAAAAGATTGTGAACATTACATTCCCATAGTAAACATTATTTTTCCGTAGTAAACAATGTAATCATGAGGTTTTGCAGGTTAGTAAACAATTTAATCATGAATTTTCGCAGGTGATAAACATGTAACAAAAACAGGTAATTTCACAATAGTGTAGAGAAATAGTATATTACGTTACTGTTATTAGTCCTGAAAATAGGTGTTTGCCAATACCATACGAATGTGGTTGTTCCCGTGCGAGACGAAGGCGAGTGTGGGATTACCATACGAGTCCGGTAAACACATTTCGGACACCATACTACTCTAAGCTAACTTAGTAATAAAAACCTGTACAAATCCTTATATATTCCCACCGACTAAAGGACTTACAACCTTCATCTTGTGTATTGCCTTCCGGATTACTTCATGAATTGTATACAAGAGGTTAAGTAACCTCTTGTATACAACTTACAACCACTACTCATAACCTCTAAGAGGGGTTATGTTTTAGTATATAACCACTCATTGGAGTCATTGCCAAATACAATCAGCTTATGTCCGTAAAAACTCATTTCAATAAAGCAGTACGTAATGAAACCCCTGATTAAGTTAGTGGCAAACAGCTGTTTTCTGGACTAAATCTTTGCGTGGGAAGTTTTTTAAAACAGTGTAGTGTGCGTAAACACCATAATAAGTACTTGTATCATAGATTACTCCCTAAGTAGATTTGTCATCCTTACGGATCAGCTGGAGCCAATTTCATGGTTACTTCCATCCGGTGCTCCTGGATTCACGTTTTTGTTTTACAATTTGTTATTTCAATCATTTAAAATCTCGTTTAACCAAATAAAACAATCTAGTCATAAACAATTACTCGTCCCCTAATTATGTAACCAAACAGTTTAGTAAAGCACAAATAATGAAATCAACCCTAAAAGAAACAAAATTTTATCGACACTAGCGATCAGTGTCACGAACATGAACTAGACACGAGAAACAAGCTTCAAGTTTAACAATGGGTTGAGAAGTCTACTTGTGTTGGTTAGTCTATGATACTATTTAAGAATGGGAAATGTTGTTCTTAAGCAATTCAGACCTCAGATTGGTAAAGTTCTGGTTTCCCTTCTTCAAACGGCTGCAAGGAGATGCTGATACGATGAGTCGCAGCTGTGCTGTATACCTGATGGCTGATGCGCCTTGGTGGTGCTTGCGGCTTGAGCGGAGGCTGAATAGTGTAGCGTCGTCTGCGCAGGGGGACATTAGACTCTAGATTCTGCTGACTCACTCTGCGATTGGCTGTGAGAGAATGTGGAATCGGATCTGTTGGCTGCACTGGAGTTCTCGTTCCAAAAACTATCGGAATCTCCACTCCAGGTGGGACAGGAACACCAGTCAGCTTCCCGGAAACCTTGACATCGTTTTACAATCTTATACTATTCATATGCTAGGCAGATGCCGCATAACAGGTACTTAAACTCTATATTAATAGTAATAGTCAATACCGGGTACAGCTAGTTCATATAAATGTGTTGTCTACTTCAGTCTCTAAATGTCAATGATGTTACATAATAAGATTGCTACTAATTTAGCTAACATAGTGTCCCAACGCAATATTTATTTCATTCTATTTAAATACTGATAAATAATATCTATTTCTTATAGGGGATAAGAAAACTCAATTCCAACAAAAACTCCTCTCTGGTGCATTCCTGAATCCAAGGTCTTCTCTTTGATGAGAAGTTTTAAATGGTATATTAGCTTAATTCTACAGCCACAAGGAACACGGTTGAATGAGCTACTCACACAGTGAACTGCAGTCTATGTTAATAGTCTAGTAATTGTTCTGAGCATATAAACACCAACCTGTATGCAGTATGTGACCAGTACAAGAGATGAGTTGGCTATAGTGGGAGTAAGTGAGGGAGAAGTAGACATTTGACAAACCCAGCTGTGATGTCTGTTACTGCGTGTTGTCTTGTGGGCTTCAGTCTTCAAACACTGCTTGGTAACTCGGCTCACTGTCTTGTCGTCCAGATGTGCAAACACTGTAGTGACCTGGGACCCATGTCCAATTGATTATACGGTTCAGGACAAGCCGTCACAAATTTTTCACTAAAAAGAACGTAGTTGAATGAAAGTTCTATTTCTTCTCTTATTTTAGATATTTTGTAGAGGGGACAAACAATTTCCACAGGTCTCCTGGTAAGATCTAGACCCGGGAAGGATTCACTTTTTATTTTTGATGTCTCCAGAGGCCAAAAACAAGATCCATTCAATTTCATATTATTTATTTTGATATCTATAACAAAAACCCCATGAAATACCATTTAGAAAAAAAAAAAACTATCTTCACTGACTTGTGTACATTTTGACACTTGGGTCATGGTCACAGTCATAATATTAATGAAACTAAAATGGGCTGAAAACAAGTAAAATGAATACAATTACATGTTTTAATTAGGGATGGACGAGATTGGATTTTTAGTTCGAGACGAGACAAGACGAGATTTTTTATTTCTCATAAAATTTCGAGACGAGATCGAGACAGGATTTCCCTTCTCATACACAACGGGAAATGCACGTTCGGAATTTTTACATGATTTTGTTACATTGTTAGATGACTGTTTAAATACAAAAATAATGATAATAGGCAAGAATATTTACAATCTTTTATTAAAAAACATCAGCATAACATTTTTTTATTAATCACGCCTAACTTATTTAAAATGCCTACGATTAGGAAACATAGTGATATCAGTTAGGATAGAGTTCAACTTATCCTAAAATAAAATAAATCATAAAATAAAATATTAATTTTTATAAAATAGTTACTTGTTTTGACTTTTTTATAGTAATAAAACATTCCTCACACTGCTAACACTTAGCAAAACTTCTCAAATGTTATTAAAATAATTAAAGTAATATTTACATTTGAAGAATTAATTAAATAAGAACGCCTTCTCAAAGGAAACACAACTACAACACACTCCTGTATTGCGTATTGCATTGACTTTCTGCAGGCGTTTTTAATTTTTTTTTTTTTTATTCTCGTCTTGATAAAAATCTCGGCCAAAAAGAAATCTCGTCTCGTGTAACGAGATTTAAAATTTCCCGAAAATTTCCCGAAATTTCGAGACTTGACCATCCCTAGTTTTAATACAAGTCAAACTAATCTTTCTTGTAATTTTGTGCTTCTAAACCTTAAGTTAATAATTTAGGAGGGAGCCTAAGTGAATGCCCTTGCATTTTACAGTTTAAAATATAAATAATATCTTAATACCTGCTTCAAAGTACAAAACAGATACTCCAATGTTTTGCTGGTCCCATTGCTGACCTCAACGACAACTGAAACCACATCTCCAGGGACGTAACAGGAGCGAGGTACGGAAGCTTTCAACTTCACTGGTCTGTTGAACAAACCATACTTCTTGGTGACCTCTGAACTCTGAAGACTCTGTAAATCATACACACTCTCTGTTTGAAGATAAATAAAAACCATGTATTCTTCTTAAAAAAAAAAACAAACATATTGCTATCAACAAATCTACAAATACTACTATAGTTATAGGAATCAAAATCTGAGATCATATTTCTTAATATCAATATCCTTCTTAGTATCAAAACCATACTTTTGGTATCACAACCCCAAACTTTTGGTATATAGGTCTCCAAAAAGAGGCTGCTTTTACTTTTCCCCCCATACCATATATATTTGTTTTATTTAAATTTCCTGTCAAACACGACATGAGGGATCATTGGCAAGACATTTGGACCTGAAGAAGTGCTCCATTTTTTACAGCATAAAACAGCTGTAGTCGTTGTAAACTACTGTCCTGTACTCCCGAGTGTGGGGGCGAGAAGAATGCAACCCGCACATCACGCTATGGTATAGCGCCGGCCTACGGCTAGTACGGCCCTTCCGCAGGGCAATGCCCTAAACTTTCCCTTACGCCTGCATCCCTCGCTCCCACACTCGTGAGTATACAAACAGGACAGCAAACAGTTAATCTAAAGCTGTAACTTATTAGTATAATTCAGAAAAATTTCAGACGAATTTAGAGGCCATGTTTTGGGCCAAGCAAAATTAAGTAAGGAGGTTTGGTTTTTCCGTTTTTCCCCTTGAGGAAGAAAATTTCCTTCACACTCCTATTTTTCTTTCTTATCAAGGGTTTTGTCCTGGGTTAAGTGACAACTCAGTAATTGAAACCAACAGGCCTCAACACCTTGGTGGTTCCCGGTGTTACTATGGAAGTCACTGTTCAAGCGCCAAATTCACCATAATTGGGCACCATAATTCACGGATGTCCTTATTACATCATGAAATATTTAACTATTAAGATTACCTGAAAGGCCTCGAAGATGTTGATGTTGACTGGGGCGACAAGGTAGAATGGTTTGCGGAAGTGCTGCGTGGATGTGGTTGAGTGAAGATGGACATGTAAGTAGTAAGTGATGTTGCCATAGGTGCTGACGTGAGAAGAGGGTAGGTGAGAAGGCAAACGGAGACTGAAAGGGTAGGTGTACACTCCTGGCTCCAGTTCTACTCCTGGAGGAAATGAATGTATAAGTTTGTACATCTGAATGGTATCATGGAGGTATACAATTTTTTTGTTAACTGAGTAACATGACATAATACAGTACCAATGTATGATTCACATAAGTTTCTTCTGCTTATCACACATTCTATAAAATTTTCAATAGTGGTGATAAGTACCAGGGTGAGTAAAGAGCTTTCATATTGTTTAGTAAATTTTTCATGAAGGGAATAAGCTTAACGTTTTGATTGTACAGTGGAACCTCGAAAACAAGTCACGCTAGATAAAAAGGGTCATTTGCCAATCCCCTTGAAATTATTTCACCCCAATTACATGTTATTAGAAACCTCAATAAGAAGTCAACCTTGATAACAAGTCATATCAAATAATCCCCATGAGAGTCTTAAGAGAGTTATCAAGATTCTATTGTAATTGTAAATTAATACAGTACGGTATTCTTTGCACCGTGTAACTAGAGGGGCTTTGGCTATTAGTCTGATCATGCTTTTGTGAAGGGTAAAAGCTTGTCTTTCGAAAGTTGGATAGGAAAGAAAAACATCTCTTGTAGAAAAAGCAGCTAAATTAAATTAAGTTGATTTGTATTCTATAAAAACGGTATTAGATATCTGACACATATCTCCCTCTGGCTTGTCAAGAACCTTTATCACGGGTAAGGTGGTAGTAGCTATGATAAAAAATCACAGCTATGGGAAAAATCACAAATGTTGCAGTAGCCTTTAAGCCCTAATTATTACGGTGGTAGGGGTGTTACCATTTTTTTTTTTTTAATCATAAGGGTCATAAGATACTAAATTTTAATTAAAATCGGTCAAGCTGTTTTAAAACAATCCAAATTTTCCGTTATTTTATGGGTTTTCATGGATAAATCACTACAAAAATTCAAACTTAAAGAATATTACAAATTAAAAGAAACACCCAGAGATATCATGAACCCACATACCGTACCAAATTTAATCAAAATCGAGCCACAGGTGTGGTCTGTAGCTCTGCACATACTCCCACACATACAGACACAGACATCACTTTTTTGTGTTCAGGGGAACCCAAAATGCATATATCCACTCAAAACTCAAACTTGAAAATGTTGATGAAAACAATACTTTCTCCTTGTATAGGGGGGGGGGGGGGTAAAAAATTGTTACAAATTCAACATAGAAATAAGTCTACTTCGTAGTTGTGTACTTTTAAGTCAAAGATTCTACCAACCTCTATAACTTCTAACATCCAGTAAGTGATTAAACACGTCCAAATGCATGTCTGATTCTTCCACCTCCAATTTCTCACATTTATTATCTTCTCCCTCAGCAATAATGAGGCTAAGTGAAGAAACACCACAAAAATTTACTGTGAGATCTGAAAAAATAATTTAAATACTGTAATTCCTAGAATTGTAACTGTGCACAACGCTTACTTCTGGTATTTTTTTTTTTCATTTAGAATTTGGTTATGTTTAATCTAAAACTGGTGACCAAACCTCCGTAGACACTCCCCACAGTAAGATTACAAATCTCAAAATTGATCCAATTCCACTATAGCAAAAGGTGTTGCAAGTCCCTCGATGAAAGTTGAAAATTTTTATGTATTGGGAAGATTAGTTCACCAATATTCAAATAACCCTTCTAGCCGAAAAGCTGGAATTGGCTTAAAAGGAGTACAACCACTAGCGCACAATAGTTACAGGGCATAACATGGTTAATCTATATGAGTATAAAAAACAAAATCATTTGAAAACGATATCAGACGAATAATAAATCTGGAAGTTAAGTTTAGAATTATCACAATTGAGCTATGTATTGACCAACTTTGTTAGTGCAATATGCTGTTAGGTTTGATTAGTGACTGAGCAGTCTAAAGCTTTGTCTCCCCGGCCAGGGATCAGTGGGTTCAATCCCGTCTTGGTCAGTGAGGTGCAACTCATAAGAAATTAACCTGTCTGTGGCAAAGTTAGGTGAGGGAGGCTAACCTAAAATTAAAATTGGATGTCTCAAACTAGAAAGTAGCTGGTTGAGCTATTTTTGAGTTGCCCCTCAAACTAGTCTTTTTTCCACATTTCTTTTTAGCGAATTTTTACTTTTACTGTCTATTATAATCTGGTTTTCAACACATTTGGATTTGTGTGTCCATAAATTGGGGGGAAAGATAAGACAAATAGGCATAGAGAAATCAATAAAAAGGTGCACAAAAGGTTAAAACTCAAGACTTTTAAAATCTAACGCAACTTAAAACTAACCAAGAATTGTGCACTGTGTCGGTATATTAAGCACTACATCTCCAGTGATTGTTTCATCTGGATGATACACTGAAGAAGTCCTTCCAAACACCACTGATAGCATTTTTCAAACCCAAACAACTACTGTATAATATATTGGAACTAAACACAATAAGTAAAATAGGCCTGTTTAAACTCAAAGAGACATTGAGTGTTTGTGTTTATGTCACGACAGTATAATCTTATCAAGGATGATATGGCTTCACATGCACTTGACATAGCCCATCAATATCCTGACTGATAACTGATAAGCAATAGCAGATGGGGTTAATAATCTGTCATATTGAATTACCTATTACAATATAATTTGCAAGTAAGGAAAATATTGCGTTAACGAGAAATGAATAGTTCTTTTAGTCCAAGAAATAAAAAGGGTTTCTAGGCTAATTTTTTTTCCAATCAGACCCAACAGTTAGGAATTTAATTTCTTAAAATTACGAAGTTTCAGCTGAAACAATTAAAATCCTTATGTTATTAAACTGTGTATTAGGATTTTTTTTTAAAAAAAGGATAGAGTTCAGCTAGCTTACCTGAGAAAGTTTGAGTCCAGAGATTATAGATACACAATAAAATGCCACAAAACATAACAATGATATTGTCCTAATGTAGAACTTCTTCATAGACTAGGTTGAATAGATGTTTAGGTACATAATTCATGTGTTAGGTTCTTATGCAAGTTGGTTTGTAGTTAATAACTTTTCTGATAGAGAACCCATAACGTCTTCATAACAAAATGTTAGGGTAGATATTTTTGTTAATGGAGCCTGCCTACTTTCAGTATGTAGCCTGAATCCTAATTCCTAAGAAAACGAGAAGTTAGTGGCTTTTTGTTAGTTTGAAACTGGACCCAATTATTTTTGATCATTGATATTCAAACAAATAGTCCTGGCTATAGAAACACTAGTTGTTGACAAGCCCGCGGTTTGAAAGTGACAAGAGATATTTGCACCACTCTCCCCCTTCTTTCCGGGGGAATTTTTTTCTTCCTTGCGCCCTCAACAAATATAAAACCTTTTGCCTAGGACCATTAACTAAAGCGGGCATAGTTGTTGACTTAAGACAGTAACAAAGCTAAATATATAGGTTGTCTCACTCCATTCTGTTCATTGTTTATTCATATTCAGGTTCAGAATATGCAATATTGTCTTGCTGCTTTGGTGTAGAGATATTGATAACTGAAATAATACATTACAATAGTAATCCTATGGTTTTAGTAAATTATGGTTTTATAAACTATTAATAATCCTGATAGGTAGGATATTTCTGAAAATTTACCTAAACATTTTAGATTTTAGTTGGTCACTTTCAAATAGGGAACTCATCGCCCCCTTATACCTTGCAGGAAAATCATTAACAAAATTAATTTAAAGATATCACCAAATCAATAAATCAAATAAATATTGTTTTAACAATGTCGAACAACATAGTAAGTAGTTGTATTAATCTACTGCTTGCTAAATTATCTTTCTTTAATTTTAATCAAAACTACTTTTCTTTGTAACGTTAAATTACAGGCAGAATACTTATAAGGGGTTACTAATTTCAAAAGTACAACAGTACCTATTTTTTATTACAATTTATCTTATAATACACAATATACACAGAGATTTGTCTATTTACACTAAAGTAGGTCCAAATTCTGTCTGTTTTCTCCTAAACTTATGCAACAACTCTGCCTCTTTTTCTGCCTCCGTTTCCACTTCCGAAGCTGCCCAATCCAACGCTCGGCGAATCTGTCTTTTGCACTCCTCGAGTTCTTCATAAGTTGCGTCTCTCGCTGATATCTTATGTATGGATACAAACTCAAAAGGGCGTTCAGGTCGAAACTCCTCCGGAAACTTATGAAGCACACCTACAAACAAAGCAATATTTGAAGGGGGAACTTTGGGACCATGGAAAAGTTCATAAAACATAACAGTAGGGGAGCTACTAAGTTAGTTTCCTCTAATAAAAACTATGACTTGACAGTGGCTGTTTACTGTAAATAGTGTAAGTAAACCACTATCTGTTTTATGATTGGTATATCTAGAGCAAGATAATAGGGTACATTTCAAAACCGTGAGTTGGTTAATACATAATGCAATGAGCGATCTCATTTTATTTTGACTAAAACATAATTGAATAATTAATAATAGAAGAATCCATCAAGGTTTCAAGAATAAATACAAATGATCAATGAAAAACTCTGTAGCTAGATTTTAGATTACAGTCCTATTAACTACTATTAAAGACTATCATTACAACACATCAAGCCACAAGTCTATTGTGCCGTGTGCGTCACCGTTATGTATACATACTCAGCGTGGGCAAAAACATAATGGCCGAAACATATCAGCTGTCAAAGGCAAGAGAACTAAAAAGAACTAGCAACCCAAAATCGCTCTTGTTCGCTCGTCTGCCATCGGCCTAGATCTAACTGGAACACAGCTCCACAGGCAATTAATGGTACTTTCCTGTTAAAGGGAACATTCATTATTATCGATGATTTTTTTTCGATATATCGATTTTAACAAATTGAAACATATCAGCTGATAACTACGATAAATATTGTTCAGTATCAACAAACAATAATGAAATGAAACTGTTATAAAAAAATAACCTAACATAACTAACCAAACTTGCTGTAACATTAAAAAATTCCGTGTTTAACTTGCCTATTCTGTTATCAAACGGAACTTTTAATTGGTACAGCAAGTTTGGTTGTTATGTTAGGTTAGCATAGAACAGTTTGTTTCATAATCCATATAATAGACTATTTTAGCCTAAACAAGATCAGTTGTCAACAAGTGACAATCGGAAAACAAAAATATCGATATATCGAGAAAAAAATCATCGATAATAATGAATGTTCCCTTTAACAGGAAAGTACCCAATTAATCATAAGTATTTTAATATTAGTAGTTAAACTATCAGGTGAATCAAATAGTTATTATGAAATAGTTTAGTCTTTAGTTAGGGGTTGCTGGGGAGGAACCCGATGTAGTTTTTCAATTTCAAATGTCGGTTTCTCCTTAAGAGGAACCGGCATTCAGCTTGTTAAAACAAAGTAAAATATTCACATGATTCTAAATTGTTTGATTTTATTCTCTGCTGTCAATCCGAGTAATTTATTCCCAAATTACTTTACTTCCGTGAGATTTCATATTCCACAGTTAGTTCATTAATTAGTTAATCATGTCAACGCAATTCTTACATTTTCAGGTAGTGGTTCAGTTATAAGATTTTCATGTTATAAATTTGTAAATCACAGCTAATCAAAAGCTGGCTTAGGGTGTTTGTTTACGGCAATGGGCACGACCAACCTTATAGTAAAACCTTTCCTTTAAAATAGACAGTTACAGCCCTTCCTAATTCCTCAACCTTATAGTTAATTTATTATATATTTCCATGTCCCAACTCTCACCTATCCATACCACTCATCCATTATTCTACAGACACACCCCATCAGTTTGTAACGGGTCCAATAAATAATTAAATAAATAATAATAAATAGTAATAATCGAACATAAACAAATGATCAATTATCGGAACGGTACGGTAATCAAACAAATTATCAATATTCAATTCAATAATGGACGCTCAATTAGGTAACATGGTGGTTAAATTAGAGTCAAATGGTTTTAATAAAAGGATTAATAATAGTAAATGTTCCAAGATGGTTAGATGAGAGCCCTGTTTGTCGTTGACAAAAACGAAGGGCGGGATTAGACACAAATCGGTGTTCTGCGCATCCAGTTGGATTGGGTTGAGATTTTGAGAACTGGTGAAACGCTTTTGGTCTCTAAAACGGAAATTTTCCGTTTTCATGGTGTTGGCAGTTCCAGGGTTGAGCAACCGACACGCAAGATTGATAACGAAGCAAGGCTTCTACACTTCTTCACTGCTCTTCATAGCGTTCGGACCTACGTCACTTCTGTTACCAACTTTTATGTAATTACCATCTACCGGAAGCTTAATACCTACAGTTTAATCCACGGAGTTAGTTATCGGACAATGTTTGTGACGGTGTATCCCTCTTTATAAAATTACTTAAGTTAACACTCGAGGAGAAGTTCGGCTAGGCCGGACGACACGACGCCATGACACCCACACCGGCTTCGGACATGGGGACGCCACGGTCATCCACAACGTAGACTCGGGGAGTGACCATCTACACTACAGGCGGTGGACATCTCATCTCACCTCTAACCCTAAGCTAAGTGTTTTATCAAACTTAGTGGTTACTATGTATATTTAAATAATCTATAACATAAAGTAAATTTAGTTTTTTGCAATGTAAATTAACTTCACTTTCAAACAACAATTTTATAAGGACAGATTTTCTTTTGTGTAACTTATTCTGAAATGTAAAACTTAAAACATCTGGTTTAGTCTAAATTAACTTAATAAAACAATCTTTTATGTTCTGAGAATTTTTTATTTTATTAAAATGAAATAAGCCCCACCGAACCACACGATTAACCTGAGATAAGAGAAAGGCTTTACTAGCCTAAAGTAAAATTAGTAAATTAAATATAGGTATGTAACTGGTGTGATTGACTGAGTGAAGGCCTAACACTAGTCAATAATTAATTAACTCAAAGAAATAAACAGCACCGTTACAAGTTTTAATCAATAACAACCAGTCACAAATTAGCACCTATCTCTCCACGATTGATTTTTTAAACTCCTCTACCGAACAGTATGAAAGACCTGATGGGAAGCATACTGCGGCAAGAACTGAAGAAATGCCGAATCAATATACAATTTTAAGGCTCTTTGGCAGCTTGTAACTTAGTTAACTCCATTGAAATACAACATGATAGAAAGGTACCAATGAAACCTAAAATAGTCACTTAAAGAATATGAATGTATTAGTACGAGCAAATGCTTAGAGGGAAAGGGATGTGCATGAAAGAAAATGAAGCAGTATACAAAATGGGGAAATAAAATCAATTAAGATCCCTTTAAGGTCTATCAAGAGTAAAACAAGGTTGGACAGAGCTAGGTATCAAGATTACAGAAGAACAGCTGTTTAATAAGACAGTTTAAGGGGGATAGAGGGAAAAGAACAAAGTGTTTGGCATCCAAGAAAAAAGATTTCCTGAGAAAATGGAATTACAAGGTTACGAGAAATATAGAGACAAGAGGAGTGACATGACAGATGGTGGAAAAAGAAGGAGAACTGTCAAGGTGTAGGAGAAGACAAACCTACATCCATGAATAATAGGAATGGAAAAGATAATATGTATCTGTAATATTTGTTTATACACTGAACAAATACAGTACAGAACGACTCATAACAAAAACAAATCAACTAAATTAAATACAAATCACATACGTGTCAAATCCATTGCTGCCTCTACTACTTCTTTGCTTGTTTCTTCTGCATTTGGGGTGTCCATTTTATTGATAAGTAGCATGGCAGGCTTATCTAGCAGAGGTTCCTTGTATAGTTCTATTTCCTGTAACATTGTGGACAATCCTTCAGGTTGGCTAACATGGTATCTATATTATAAGATATATGTGGTTCCTAACTATGTATACATACTGAATTGACTGGTATGAAATTTTTAATAAAGATAAATCATGAACCTAGCCAAAACATAGCTTATATTAATTTTCATCACTCCGTAGCCAGGCTCTGTACGGCGTTTGCTCTTCATCATGAAAGATCCATTCTGGGGACCCCTGACTTCCCTGAATTTCCCTTCCCAGTCTTCACTGACTTAAAAAATACACGGAAACCGTAATTTGTTAAAAGACCACACGTACCCGGTTGAGCAACAAGATCGTCTCAATACAGCTGCGGTAGCGATACTTGTGGCTCAACTGAAAGCCTCCAATGTCCACCACCACAAGCAGCATTTTGCTGCGCTCCACATGTCGGAGAAAATGGTGGCCGAGGCCGCAATTGACGTGAGCACCTTCTATCAGACCAGGCAGATCTGCGAGTGAGATTACTCGGCCGTCGTGATACTGGGTCATGCCTACTGTCGGCCTCATTGTGGTGACTGAAACATAGGTGTGGCTTATTATAACCTTATTTCTAGCTAATTCTTTGTTACTGTTGACGTAATGATTGAGTAAACTATTAAGGAATGCCCTTGATGCTAGGAATATATTAGGTGCTTTTATCACAGGCCCCTTTGATGCATCCACCCCTTTGACTAGGACGGGTGGCGTCGTCCTGTAATCCAGCAGGAGGTCACGAATTGTGGATATTTATAGGCATGCACTGTGGATGCATTACTCCCTGGTGTGGATTAACGTCCCCACGGGTGAGTACTACGACTATCCGCAGTACTATCCTGATAATTAGACCAATTCGTATATACCAAGGAAAAAAGTGGTTCGGATTCCACTATAAAATGTAGGTCCCTTAGTCACCATTAGCTGTAAGAGCTATTAATTAACAGCTGTGTCTAAGGAATATGTCGGCCTTAGTCACTAACAAGACTATAAGATCGCACCACTCATCATACACTCATCTCCATTCATACTTGGCTTAAAATACCTACTTTGTATGGTCGCCATTTCAAAGAAAAGTATAAAAAGTATAAAGCATAATGGATAGATAATGTGGCAAATTCCACTGATATACCAATACTACATGTGTTGGTTAAGCAAAGCAACATTACGGTTATTTTTATCACTTATTTTAGACTAAAACTATAAATACTTTTTATCAATAAAAAACATGCCAATTAAATATCTAGTGTTTATATTTCAAACTTCTTAGATCATTACTGTAAAATATTTAAATAATGATGGAGACCTAGGGGTGGGGTGGACCGATGGAGTCAAGTGTCTCAAGCAAAAATATTTTACTTTTGATGGTTCAAAGCTGGCTTTCCATTCACTCATTGTCTACTCAGGTTTAGCTTGTAAAATAGACTGGGGTTTTTATGTTGCTAGCCTAGTGGTTGGAGTCTCAGACTATGTTGCGGGAGGGACCAAATTATTCCGGCATATACATAGCCTACATACTTCAAAGTTTAGGATCACTCTCCTAGTTAAATAATATTACATACAAAATGAGACTGGTATGAAGACTAAAAAAGTGTTGTCTTTTAAAAATTATAACTTATGTATGAAACAGGTTATGAACCCTCTTACTGAATTATGTATATACTTAACACTCACAAGGATAGCTGGCGATTTTCGGGGAAGCACGAGATAGTTTGGAGAGCAGAGTAGATTTCCCTGCGTTTGGAAAACCTACAAACGCTACGTCTGCTATGAGCTTTAGGTCCAGGCGGATGGTGAGGGATTGACCTTTGGACCCACAGTAACCCGTCGTAGGTCCTCCTCCCGCACCTTCTTCTGCAACCATGACCATATCCCCCTCCTGGGTCACCTCCCCTGCGGACAAACATTAAGATGTCTTAGGAAAAATGTCGGCCTCAGTCACTAACAACTAACAAGACTGCAAGATCGCGCCACTCATCCTACACTCATCTCCATTCATACTAGGCTTAAAATACCTAAATTCATATGGTCGCCATTTCGGATTAAAGTATTCAAAGTATATATATATAAAGTATTAAGATCTTCATAAATACTAAATGACTAGCTGTACCCGCGGGCTTCGCCCCGTTTAACTTCATAAGTATTCGCATGGCTCATTCACGTCCTGGTTGAAGTTCGTTCGCTACGCTCACTCACCTTTTCTTGGAAATTAGCTGTTGTCATAAATTAAAAAAAAAAAAATAATAGTGCTGCACCCTGTTGGTAATCCTTATAACTTTTATGCTATTGAACATCATAGAACAGAACCAACTTGTTTAATTGAAACAGCTGTTAAGATTCATTAATTCCTTTAAATATGAAAAATCATAAGGTTAACATGGGGAACTACAGAGCCACTGGGGCGGAGCCCGAAAGGATTTTTGAGATAAGAATATGCTTTAATGTTAATCGGGAATGTGAGCTATCATCATGCCAAATTTCAGCCCAATTCGTCCAGTAGTTTATACGTGATTGAGCAACACACACACACAAACTCACAAACTTTCAGATTTATAATATTAGTAAGATACTAGGCATGAGTAAAGTAGTTGTTTTGTTGGTTAACCTATAACAATGCTATTACATTGACTTATGTTTACAACAGTAAGATATCCTACATATAAGGACCAGGAACAGCTGTAGAAAATCTTTACTAAAAAAGCATAGTTAGAAAAGCCAATGATTTGATTTCAAAGTTAAAAAATGTTTAAAAAATATAGGCTAGTAAAAATGAATAACTAAATCTTTGAACTTGAAAGGGTTAAAAAGATAGAGCTAGTAAACGAATGAGATCAAAGAGTTTTGGTGACTTACCCAGCTTGTTGTTAAACTCAGTCATGACAACTACTCCAGGAGGACACTGAATGACAACGTCGTCTGCTGATCTTCCTAGAATGCATCGAGTTGAACTGTCCTGACCCGTGGACGCCTTCACTTTGTGATTGTCTTTCATGGACATCTTAAGATCCCTTAGAGTCATTCCTAAGAAAAGTTACTTTGAATTAGTAACAAAATAAACTTTAACTGGTCTTTTTTACTAAGACCGGTTATGTACAAGAATGAACTTTACAGTACTGACAAATTGTAGCAGCACCTGGATAGCTGAAAATAATGCTCCCTTTCACCTTTTTATACTGACTGAGTCATTGACTCACCCTTTGCTCACTCATTGCTTGGTGACTAGAAATTTGATTTCTAGATATTTTGATGGAAAAAACATGTTTAAAACTTTTTAACTCATCCTTTCCATACATTCATTAATAATAATACAAATCTCAATAAAAACGCTTCATTGAAATGTTTAATTTAATAAAGTTTTAGCTTAATAGACTATAGGCCTAAGTTATAAATCAAACAATCAAGCTTTTCAAAAACAATGTTAGGTTATATGGAATAAGATTAAATTAGCCATTGGTGGAAACATACCTTCCTTAGCTTCTACAAAAACTCTGCCTCCTCTTCCTCCTACACCTCCATACTTGGGATGACCCATCCCACCTGCTCCACCTTGGACATGGATTCGTAAAGAATCAATGAAATTGTGTTTTCTTTTTTTAAGTTTCTGGAACTATAAGAAATTTTTATTAAACTTTTGGTAGGTACCATTAAAAATCTTAGAAACCATAATACAGTGTGATTGAAAAGTCCCGGAACGGTTTAATATTTAAAAAAAAAATGCAGATAGAGCTAAAATACTTGGTACAAAGTTACAGGGCATAAAACTCTATTTTAACACATATTCAGTGACTCAATAACTCTTCAGGGGGACGTCCCACAATGAGTCAGAAGAAAATCTTGAATGGAAGCATAGGTCAATATGCACATCAAATTAAAGGTCTTTTTTAGTAGAATACAATGCCGCAAACCACACTTCAAAAGGTTGATCCTGCGCAAAATGACAGTTGTTCAAAGATTCATTTAATTTACATTGCTATTATACGCTTTCTCCTCAGGGGGCACAGCCCTAGGAATCGGAAGAAAATTGTTAACGAAAGAATAGGTCGATATGCACATCAAATTAAAGGTCTTCACTTTTAGATTACGATGCCGTAAATTCAAGCTCAAAAGAATGCCTGAGTAAAAAATGGCAGTCGTTCAAAGATTCAAAATGGCGGATTCAAGAAATCTTTGAACATCTGCCATTTTGTGCAGGATCAACCTTTTGAAGTGCGGTTGCGGCATTGTATTCTACTAAAAAAGACCTTTAATTTGATGCGCATATTGACCTATGCTTCCATTTCAGATTTTCTTCCGACTCCTTGTGGGCCGTCTCCCTGAAGAATTATTGGATCACTGAATATGTATTAAAATAGAGTTTTATGGCCCTGTAACTTTGTACTAAGTATTTGAGCTCTATCTGCATTATTTTTAGCGAATTTCCCTATAGGGAAGTAGCTATTACCGTAGGTGGCACGGTAAGACCCAGGCCCGGGACCGATTTACTTTTTCATTTTGATGTCCCCAGAGGCTAAAAACACCATTCGTTCAAATTTTTAAATATGTACATATATATAGACTTATATATATACGTCCGTGAACGCGATAACTTGAGTAATTTTTGTCCGATTTTGATGAAATTTGGTTTAAAGGTGTAACGCGGGATAAACTTGAATGAGTTCGCGAAGCAGCATGATCGGACCATGGGAACGGGGTTTTACAGGGGGTTTTATGGGGTAAAAAATGGTTTTTCTCATTTTTGACCCTCAAAATACAAAATTTCTCTCTAGACCTTTTTAAAGAGCTTAAAAAAAACAAATAATTTAGTATATTGAAGTGATTTTGTACGGTTATTGGTAACGAAGAAAATTCAAAAAATTGTAAATTTAAAATTCCCATATTATTCTTATGGAGAATATTTTAAATGTTGTTGTTTGCTTGTTTAGTTTATGGATATATTTTGATCAAACTTGGCAAATTTATTTATTTTATACTAAGCTATGAATATTTTACTAAAAAATACATTTTATTAGTTTCCTTGTAGCAGAAAACCTAGGTACTCAGTCTTATGTTATTTAAGTAGATTTATTTAAAAATCAACTCAGACAAATGGAAATTCGCTTAGTATGCGGGTTTGCTGCGGCGGGGGTATTTTTAATATTTAACCGTTCCGGGACTTTTCAATTACACTGTATAATAGGCTTAGCCAGAAGATATTGTACAGCAATGAACCATGTAATTTAACTTTAAACTAAATTTTTGTGAAATGTCATAGGCCTACAATAATTCCTACTGTCTGGGAATGAAGTTAGATGATGGTAAAGCAAAATGTAGTACTATTGATGGACTAACAAGTTTCTGTTTTAAATAAACTTAGAAAAATGTTGTTTAAAGTTTTCGGCATATACTTATCTATAACCCCACTCGGTGTATATGTAAACTAAATTTGCTCCCCATGTATTTGTTATGGGAGTTAAATTTTGTTTTTCTTTTCAGAGTTCGTTTTGCTCTTCTACCTGACCGATTTTCATAATTGAGGTCTTAAATTGAAGGCATACACGCAAAGATTTCACATCAAGCATCAGCCATCGAAGTAAATGCATCGGCATATATTTACCTACTGTATTATTTGACCGAAAAACATAATTTGATTCATTTTCAAATTCTTACTTCAATTTAAGATGTATTTCACCAGTTATAATAATACAATCCTATATATATTGGTCTAAGAACCTTCAGTGAAATATATATACTTTCATTTAAGCTACTGTATTAGTTATTCAAATCGGATGAGTTTCAAGCAAACGCAAAGAAAACAACCAACATAAAAATTATTTTTTATACCTATGGTTTTTCTATGACTAAAAATCAATAGTTTCAGTATTATTATTCATGTATGTTTTAGACTCAAAATGATCAGTAAATTATACTGTATTACTGTGCTCATCAAAAATCATAAATTTGATAAGTTCTTGGATAGGCTATATTTATTTTAACGCTGCGTAGCAGCATGGGTCCTCTAGTCGCTATTATTTTCATTGTGTGCGCAATCTCTTCGAGGCATCTTAGTAAAATTACAAATGCTAATAAAACATACTACGAAAACACAAAACCTCTTCATTACATTTTAAACAAATAACATTACAATATTTTTACTTCCCTAAAAGTTCCCTAAAACATCGATAAAACATAGGCTACTATGAAAACACAAAATCCAATACAAATGAAGATATTTTGATTTGATTTGAGTTCCAGGAAGAACCTGCGATATAGCCTATTACTGGATGAAAATTTTATTCAATATAGCCTACCAATAAATACTTCGGCTTTTTAAACAAGTGGAGGGGTAGAGTTCCGCAGAGAACCAACAATTTTTATCTGATAAAATATCAGTTAGATATCGATTAAAATATTCAAAGCATTTTAAATTGAATGTAAGATAAATATTCATTTTCTGTTATGGGTCTATTCTTTTAAAGTAGAACGCTTGTAAAGCTGTGGCGGTTAGGTTAGTTCAGTTTAGTTTATGAAACTCTTGAAAAAATAGTACAAATAAAACTTTTATATAGACGTCTTAGTAAACTTATCTATTTAAAAATAATAAGTTAGTAAGGATAATAAAAAGTCTAGAGACCCCCTGTCAATTTTTTAACGGGCCAAACTAGAAAAACTAAACTCTGCACACCTTTATGGCTTGTTATGAAGTACTTTTTGAGCATAACCGCCACTTCGGATAAGTTACATCCCCAAATTGGGGGAGTTCAAGGGAAACTCAAAAATGTCAAATGGTTAGACCCATCGAGTGACCCCTCATTTTAAAGGTTCTTATACAAAGAAAACCAACAACGCAAACTAGGGAGGTTCTCTATCTCAACCCAGTAATAAATGACAGTCAATTGAAATTCTCAGAAGTGGAATTTAACTTACAGCTTTCCAAGTCTGAAGACCCCCTGTAAATTTTTTAATGGCTAGGGTTGCCATGGTAATGTACAAAAAAGAGGAGATTTTAGCTGGCGGCCCCCACTATAATAGTGGATAAAATTTATCGGGCTAGCAAAATTGTAGCCTATAGCCTACCACACCTAGTACCAAAAATATTATGACAGAAACTATAGGTCATGAACCTAAACATAAACAAAATGTTGTCACTGGCCTGAAAGTAAACACGTTTTTGTTATTATTTAAATGGAACTGTCAAAAAACGTCCAGTTGTTACCGCTATTAGTCTATAGACATTTGGGCCAGTGACATAATTTGTTTATATTTATTAGTTTATACCGTTTCTGTTCAATATGCATGCTACACAATGTCAATATTCAAACGGTACACACGAAAATATAAAATGTTGCATCGCTTGTCACATCTCACTAAAATTAATGAATAAACCGAATAATGGCAACAAAACGCTCTCTGTGTGCTAGGCTTGTAGTGAAAATCGGATACCTTCGCCGACTGGTCGGCAGACACCATTTGAAGGACTGGGAGCAATGAAACAGATGATAAAGATAAACTAAAGACGTTGCTGGCTAAAGTGAAACCAAGAAATAGAAAAACGTTAGTAGAGTACAAGAGTTGCATTTTACAGTTATTGCATAGCGATATTAGCGAACGCAAACATTTATTTTATTCCAAAAGTTCTGTTTTATAATGCATTTTAAAAGAGATTAAAAAAAAGGAGATTTCTCACTTTTTGCAGAAATCCCCCGGAGCTAAATTTTGAACGTCAAAATCCGGTAATCTCCTGGGAAATCTGGGGATATGGCAACCCTAGTAACAGCTCACACTAGAAAGACTAAACTCTGCACACCTTTATGGCATGATATGAAGTACTTTTTGAGCCTAATTTCTACTTCGATTGCAAACCCTTAATGGGAGATTTTTGGGGAAACTCAAAAATTTTAAATGTTAAGCCCCATCGAGTGACCCCTCATTTTTAAGGTCTTGGTAAAAGAAAACTAACAACGCAAACTAGAGGTCTCTATCAACTTAACCCAGTAAAATATGGCAGTCAATTGAAATCTTTAGAAATCAGAATTAACTTACGTACAATTTTCCTTATGAATATCAATTGACTGTCATATTTTACTGGGTACCTAACATAATGAAATAATCGATATACCGAATAATCTATAACTTATATCGACATTTTTCAATCGAATGAGTGTAGGACAGAGATACTAAAGTGCAGCCGAGTAGCCCAGTTTAGAAACTGTACCCAGTTTGGTTGGGTTGTCACAGTTTAATTTTATAATTTATATAAATTAGCCTAGTTAAAAATATTGATTAGTAATCGATTTTTCAATCAATAGTTTCAATCAATATATTATATAAGCGTATTCCAGAAACTGTACCCAATTTAAGTTTTATAAATGTTCACAGCAAATGCTATTGACCTACCTAAGTTAAGTTTTTAACTTATAACTGCACTGCAACCTGAAACCATAGATAAAACATAGCCTACGGACTATGTTTTATCTATGAATGCTGCAACCAACCTAGTACACTTACCGCTTTAACACTTTCTTTCAAAACAGAGCTTAAGATAGTCATTATGATTTATTCACTATTATATTCGAATGCAAGTAGTCCTTATACTAAGAGACGCCTAATTTATTTTACTTTACAGATAAAATTCTTCAGAATGAGTAAAATTCTTCACAGATAACACACAGACACACGGTAAATACTTAGGTTATGTTTTTATTTTTATTTTTTTTTTGTAATATCAATATTGTCTTTCAATGTCAGACTCAGAGGACGACCGTCTCGCCGCAGTAATAAATCCTACTTTTTTAACTTTAGGAACATCTTCCTAGGGTCTGTAACAGGATACTGCTTTCTCGTTCTAGTAAAAAGGAACTGAATAAATGTAACGGTTACAACAAGAAGCATTCTCTAGTCTGTACTGCCTTTGCCCTTTACCAAGGCCCCACTAGCTTTACTTGTCTTGTTCTTGTTAACTATTGTTTGTTTATTATGTTTTGTCGTTTTTGCCCTGTCGTCACTCATGTTAACTATCTCCCTCTTCATAATTAATTAATTGTCTCACCTAACCACCAGCTTGCAGTGTTGCCAATCCCTTTTTGGCAAATTACCCTCAGTCCTGCCCAAAATTACCCTCGAATACCCTCGAAAACCACCAACGTCCAAAACTAGAAACTTTTACATTACTAGGCCCTGTTTCGAATATAAATTATTGATTTTGTATTGGAAAATCGAATATTCAAACAATTTATTAAAATCAAGGGTAAATGCAGGTATTAAGTATTGAAAATATAAACAAATTACAGGAACCTAATGGAATATAATTTACACTCGAGTTCTGCACCCATGGGCACCTCAGCTTGTGCATGCGCAGAAAGCTCTTGGGCTGCTCTTGGAGCAATTTCCGAGGTAACTGTTGCTTCTGATGTGTATTAGCTTCTCACAGCTTGCCTGTGAAACTCTAACAATTTCACACATAGCTCAACCTAAACCTAGGCCTTTATTAACAATCACTCATTTTTCTTGAGGAATCCGAAAAAATAGATTAAGTGAACAGTTAAAACTTCACTTCATAAATAATTCATGCACACACAACAATTTGTCAATACTTTATTTAACAAATCATTTCAGCTTCAGAACACTCAATGTTCGTAGCAATTTCATTTTCATAAATCATAATATTGACTTTCATTCAAGCAGCTCAGGTCAATTAAACAAACAAAACAAACACCGGAACACCTTCACATTCACAATGCACAGTTCGCAACTGCAACTGATGAAAAAGGTTTTAGTTAAGGACATTGTGGAAGGAAAAAAACATAGGTGTGCTATTCCCATCATATTCTGACGTCACTCGGATTGCAAACAAAAGATTACCTGATTGTAACTGTCAATGTATTTTGTTTTAGCGAATTTTCCCTATTGAGAATAAGCTATTACCGTAGTACTCATGGTAAGACCTGGAACTGGGACCGATTTACTTTTTCGTTTTGAGGTCCCTAGAGACCAAAAACACCATCCGATCAAATTCATTATATATATATATATTTATATATGTGGCCGTTAGCGCGATAACTCGAGCAAAAATCATCCGATTTTGATGAAATTTGGTACAAACGTGTAAACCTACGTTTATTCGAACTCGAACGAGTCCGCGAACCAGCATGATCGGACAATGGGAACGGGGGTTTTATATGGGGTATTATGGGATAAAAATAGGTTTTTCCCATTTTTGACCCTAAAAACAAAATATTTTACAATTTCTTTCCAAACCATTTTGTAGAGCTTAAAAAAATAATTTAGTATATTGAAGCATTAATATGCGCCTAATGGCTACGAAGAAAATTCCAAAAATCTGTAAATTTAATTTTCCCATGTTATTATTATGGAGAACTATCTGTAACCCGCGGGTTTTGCCCCGTTTAACTTCTTAATTTTCAAGATGATCTCGTTCGCATGGCTCAATCACGTCCTGGTTGAAGTTCGTTCACTACGCTCACTCACCTTTAGGTTGGAGCTCGTTCGCTACGCTTACTCACCTTTAGTTGGAGATCGTTCGCTGCGCTCACTTACCTTCAGGTTAGCTCGTTCACTACGCTAACTCGCATCCAGGTTAAAGTTCGTTCGCTACGCTCACTCACCTTTTGGTTGCAAATTAGCTGTTGTCATAAATTTAAAAGAAATAATAGTGCTGCACCCTGTTGGTAATCCTTGTAACTTTAATGCTATTGAACATCATAGAACAGAACCAACTTGAAACAGCTGTTAAGATCCATTAATTCCATTTCTCATGGTAAGACCTGGACCCGGGACCGATTTTTTTTTTTCGTTTTGAGGTCCCTAGAGGCCAAAAACACCATCCGTTCAAATTCATATATATATATACATATATATACATATATATACATATATATACATACATATATATACATACTAGCTGTACCCGCGGGCTTTGCCCCGTTTAACTTCATATGTAAGCTCGTTCGCATGGCTCAATCACGTCCTGGTTGAAGTTCGTTCGCTACGTTCACTCACCTTTAGGTTGGAGCACGTTCGCTGCGCTCACACGTCCTGGTTGAAGTTCGTTCGCTACGCTCACCTTTAAAAGTTGGAGCTCGTTCGCTGCGCTCACTTGCCTTCAGGTTAGCTCGTTCGCTACGCTAACTCGCCTCGGGGTTGAAGTTCGTTCGCTTTGCTCACTCACCTTTTGGTTTAAAATTACCCATGTAGCACAGATGGTTGGGCCAACGTTGGTAAATTGTGGAGCCACACAGTTGGCCAACGGTAGAAATGTCACCTCTTTAAACTGTTTTCCAGCCAACCTTTGTCCAACAATGGCCCAACCAAAATTATTTCACACAAAATAATAAAGATTTAGTACGAAAAGCATAATTATTAGTTGAGTAAATTGATTAAATAGTTCATAAAAACAAATTTTGAAAAAAAGCTGGAACAAAATTTTTTGGCCCAGACGGGTCTCGAACCCGGGTCCTTCGACTTATGAGCCTCTTACCTTACCACTGAGCTATCTGTGATTGTTGATACAGAGAGTTTTCAAGTGGTGAAAGAGTAGCCGACAGTTGCAATGGTCGCAATACTTCAAACATTTTTGATACTACACAGTATAATATGATTCTGTTAATCTGTTAAGGCATCATAAGTAGTAATTTTTTTTTTTTTGGAGTTAGAGAGGATACTGGTATTTGAATATAGATTAATTAATTACTGTTAGATTATTAATGCTATTATAATTGACTGTTATATGATTAATTACTCTTTCCCCTTAAATTGTTGCAAATAAGTTAAAGAATATTAATTTAAAAAATATTTGCATTATTATAATTATTAAAATTCATTGTTGTAGCCCCGGAACTGTAATATATAAAATATCTGGTTTTACAATACCTTTATCAGTTCCAAAAACTTTTGGAAACTTTTGGAACTGATAAAGGTATTGTAAAACCAGATATTTTATTATAATTATGTTGTGAAAGCTAGACCCAGAGAATGAAAGTCGTGTAAACTCAACTATGGACCATCGTTGGTCCAACAAAAGTATCTTTTGTTGGTCCAACGGAGTGAAAAACGGTTGGACAACGGTTGGCTTGATGTATGATACCTAACAATGCATATTAATGTATTTCATTAACAATGAACCGATGTTGGTCCACAGTTGTAAATATTGGTTGGCCCAACTACGAGATATACAGTTGGACAACGGTTGGTTGGTTGTGGAAGCTCCAACCAACCATCGACCAACTGTCCCACAGTTGGCCAACGTTGGCCCAACCATCTGTGCTACATGGGTAGCTGTTGTCAAATATAAAAAAAAAATAATAGTGCTGCACTCTGTTGGTAATCCTTGTAACTTTAATGCTATTGAACATCATAGCACAGAACCAACTTGTTTAATTGAAACAGCTGTAAAGATTAATTTATTCCATTTAAATATGAGTACTCATTAGGTTAACATGGGAAACTCCAGAGCCACTGGGGCGGAGCCCGAGAGTCCGATCAGAATAAAAACCACTTAGTTTTCCTATTTAATGCCTAAAGAATCAGTGTACCAAATTTCAGCCTCCTAGGTAAATGGGAAGTGGGAGAATTAGTGATGAGTGAGTGAGTGAGTCAGTCAGTGAGGGCTTTGCCTTTTATATATATATACATATATATATACATATATATATATACATATATATATATATGTGTGTCTTTAGCGCGATAACTCAAGCAAAAATGATCCGATTTTGATGAAATTTGGTACAAACGTGTAAACCTACGTTTATTCGAACGAGTTCGCGAACCAGCATGATCGGACCATGGGAACGGGGGTTTATGGGGGCTTTTATGGGGTAAAAATGGGTTTTCCCATTTTTTGCCCAAAAACATAAAATTTTGCAATTTCTTTCCAAACAATTTTGTAGAGCTTAAAAAAACAAATAATTTAGTATATTGAAGCGTTATAATGCGCCTAATGGTTACGGAAACTCCAACAAATTGTAAATTTAAAATTCTCATGTTATTCTTATGGAGAATAAGTAAACTGTTGTAGTTTGCTTGTTTATTAACATATTTTGCCCAAATTTGGAAAATGTTTTTATTTCTTACTAACTATTAACATTTTACATAAAAAAAAACACTTTGATACCCTCCCTGTTGCAGCAAACCTAAGTATGTGAAACTGATTCTATTTAAATAGGGAATAAATGTGATATTTTTAAGGAGACATTTTAGGGTAAATCTAATCAGGCAAATGGAAATTCGCTTAGTCTGCAGGTTTGCTGCGGCGGGGGTAATTTATATGTATAGATAAGTAAACTGTTGTAGTTTGCTTGTTTATGGACATATTTTGATCAAATTTGGAAAATCCATTAATTTCATACTAAACTATTACATTTTACAAAAAAAAAAAAAAAAACACCTTTTTTACCCTCCCTGTTGCAGAAAACCTAAGTACTCATTAAACTAATGTTATTTAAATAGGGAATAAATGTGATATTTTTAAGGAGACATTTTAGTGTACCAATCCAATAAGGTAAATGGAAATTCGCTTAGTCTGCAGGTTTGCTGCGACAGGGGTATTGATTTGGTTGTTATTGTTTTTATAATGTGTGTTTTTATAAATAAACAATAACAATCAAATCAAAACAAATACTATTTGACAGTTACAATCAAGTGATCTTTTGTTTGCAATCCGAGTGACGTCAGAGACGGGAATAGCAGCACACCTATGTTTTTTCCTTTCACCATGAGTTAAGGATGAACTAGGCCTGCTGTAGCATCAGTTAACTATCCTGTAATTTTTTTACAATTTTGATGATCTCACAAGGACAGCAACCCTTATATTTCTCATTCATATTCTGTATTTATGAACTTAAGCTATATAAACTCAGCGGTTCTTACAATTAATTGAGGTAACCTTAAAACGTGAATTTCAGGGTGAATGCGTTTGCCTCAAAAGTCACAAATGAAAAGAGTGCTTAGAATTGCCTAATTTAGCTAATTAAACCAAGTTTGAAAAAAATATGAGTCGAGCTTAAGTTCATAATACAGTAACCCATATTTCTTTAATTTATGGAAACATCAACAATCTAACTCATGAGTAGCCACAAAATATTACAGGGATTCCTTAACTTATTTTCGCCCCAGTCTTATGAGGGAGGCGGTATTGTGCTTTAGAGCTTCCTCATTCAAAAATTCATAACAGGCCTGACATGTTCGACATATCGAATAACAAGAATATGGTAAACGCAACGCAAAACGCATGTAAAAGAGAAACACTTCACAAGTTCACGACACTGACACAGGAAGGGGGCAGTATGCAGAGTCCCGACCCGAGTCATGAATTTATTTATTTACTAGGTGTGCAATGCAGTTGTATGCTTGCAATATTGAGCGGAGCTAGCATATTAATCCAATACTTTTCTAAAGTCAATTTTACATCTGTTCCTCGCAAATGAGATACTTGCAGATCCAATGTCAATGGTATATTTGTTTCACTTAAATGGAATGTCTATTTGCAGTATTCTAAGTCAATTATAAGTCTGGTTCACGCAAATGAATTGTCTACTTGCAGGAACCAAAGTTGATGTTTCATCTGGTTCTCATATATTAAAATGTCTAATTACAGTATCCAATGCCAATGATACATTTGGATCGGATAAATAAAATGCCTATTTGCAATATCCAAAGTCAATGGTTTACATAAATGGAATGTCTATTTGCAGTATTCCAAGTTAATGATACGAATTGTTTACTTGCAGTATCCAAAGTCAATGATACGTCGGGTTCACGTAAACGAATTGTTTACTTGGAGTATCCACACTCAATGTTGCATTTGGTTCATGTAAATGAATTGTCTACTTGCAGGGTCCAAAGCAGTGGTTCATTTGATTCACATAAATGGAGTGTCTATTTGCAGTATCCAATGCCAATGGTACGCCTGGTTCACGTCAATGGAATGTCTACTTGCAGTATCCAAACTCAATTGTATGTCGGCCTAGATTTGGTTCACATAAATGGAATGGCTATTTCCATTTATGGATCCATTTGTGCATTTTCCATTTATGCATCAGCCTTATTCCGCCGACCATAATTATTGGTATTTCATTTTGTATTAAATTATACTCAATGATATTAATCCAATTTTTCTTCCCTTTTTCTCTGTACGGTATTTGTAATATGCTATTTGGGTGATTCGTTGACTAACATGTTGTGACTCTTGTTTACCTTTTTATTGTTATCTCGCAAATAATGTCATGGCAACCAATTAACCCTTAAGGCCCATGTTAAATTTCCAAAAGTTTGAATTCACGTAGAGAAAAGCCCTGTGGTCCGATTTGTACCATTTCAGATTTATACCTTCCCGCATGGTCGGTTACTATGGTTGTGCTAAATTTGGTGCAGATCGCTTCAGCCGTTCAGGAGGAGTATTTGTAAAACAAAAGCAGGAGTGTAGTATAAGAGCTTCGCTCGCTTCGCTTCGCTCCGCTCAATAAACGGTTGCACCATTTTTACAAGAAAAATACAATGGTCTTACAGAAAGAAGAAGCAGAGGAAAAACATAGTGTCTTGGATTATCACAGGTCAGTACAAAAGTAGTGAAAAAAACTGGAAAACAAGACTTCAATAACAAGACATAAAAGATAAATAACAACTTTAAATAACAAACTATCTGAACAAGTTAACAAAACAAGAGATTCGAAAAACAAAACCAGTATAACAACAACTTAGAACAACAAACGAATGTCGAAGGGTGGAATGAGGAACTATTTATCAGAAACGGCTCCATCCAATCTGTTCCACAGAGCAACACCTAACGCAAATGTAACAGTTGCAGTTCCAAAAAAAGTAGGATTTGGATTTGATTCATTACTTCGGCGAGATGGTCGTGTCAGAGGCCCCCAGAGTCCAGACCCAAATTAATTGATGTAAACTAGACTTGTTTCTAAGCCGAACTGGAGTAGATTTAGTTCTTCAGTCTCGGATCGGATTGAGGTGGGTCAGCGTTCTTCCATTCCATTCCCTCCCTTCAAAACTTCCGTCGAAATGGAAGTGGACTTGTGTTGCTGAGTGGGGTGAGAGGTGAGAGGGAGAGGAGGAAATTGATTGCTATTTTGTCAGTGTGATAGTGCAATGTTCCAGTGTTCTTCCAAATTTAAAGTGGTTATTTAAACGTAAAAATGAGTGAATCGCCATGTATTACGTACATGGCGCTTTATATTTTGACGTTTCATATACTTCAAACAAATTCCCGAACATCAACATTTTGGAAATTGAATGTTGAGGACGGGAAAATAATAGAAGTCAACCAGTTCCCTAGTGTTGTTACTTCTGTTTTGCCAAACGATGACAACGACGATCCTATATTCAATATTATTACATCTACTGTTCATTACGGGAAGAGTTGGACCAAGAGAAGCTCCGAAAATTATTGTACGGATTGCCAGTCAATAAACTCCTCGTCGAATAGGTAAGTCTAGCCCAGAAAAAACCCAGATATAATTTTGATGGGTCCTAGGCCTAGGTGCTTACTTCCCAGAATTCTAGAAGATTCATAAATGTATACCTAGTATAATTTCAATAACCTTACAAATGACAGAACTCAGAATAATTTAACTTAACTTACATTCATAGGCTAATCAATTAACTTACCTAGGCCTAGGCTAAGTGCAATCCTTTTGTTAGTGTTTTGAAATGAACAGAGGCCCTAGATTTGATAGTATAAGTTAGACCTATCCTACAGACAGGACAGGACCAAGGCTGACAAATTTTGAAAAAAAAATGATAACTTGTCTTAGGATCTAACTTAGGCTCTTATGAAGCTTGACTTAGAAGTTAACTACAAAACAGAAACTAGTTCTAACTTAATCTACTAGCCTAGGCTATTATTTTATTCCTTAAGTTATATTTTTAAGTCTTAAAAAATCTGGTTGGGAATTTTACGCCTTTCAGACTTAATCACAAAGTTCTTTTTTAACTTTCAGGTCTGACCCATATGACGCAGAGGTTAATAAAACATCACACCGTCAAGAATCAGATATTGACGACGAGATATTGGATTGTGGGAAAACTGTCAACTTCACATATTATGACAATTTGGTTGGTATCGCAAATCGCATGAACCACCCAAATGTTCCTGAACCTCAGGTAGCATTGATCTTCAAGAAGCGCAACGCAGAACTAGACATTGAAGGATTGGAGAGGAGACTGAAAAAGGCAAAGAGAGAGAAACCAAAATCAGTCCAGCTGTATAACCAGATTGGAAACTTCTTCAGAATCAAGGGAGACACGACCAAATCAATTGAGTGTTTTAGGCGTGCACTTGCTGTGTCACCCCATAATGCCGAGGTAGGCTTAAGTTAACTTAAGTGTTTAATTAAATATTCTTGTAGGTACGGTAAAACTAGGAAGCCTACAAACCACAGTTAAGCTAACTTATTAGCCTAGATCTTTTAATGTGAAAGTGTATAGCCTGAATCTCAGGTATCTTTGAGCAGATTTCAAATTCCTCACCCAAGCTAGATTGGAAGTGGCAAGTATATGTCGAAAATTGAACTCCTCCTTCCTGCACCAAATTTGGAGACGCTAACTAAACCACTACACCTCTGGCTAAGTTAGCATCACTTCAATACGTTGTGGCTATTGATGCAGTCCTTTATTGTGTCAGTAGTTTACTCATCTAGTAGGCCTACACATAATGTGTCCTTTTGTAACATAGGCCTACCAATTTTTTCGGTTAGTTTCTGATGATTAACCCTAGCAGTGGCCAACGTTCACGGGGTGATGGTTCGCCATTGATGCTTAGAATGGCCACCATCACGTGATACGGACGTGATGGTATGGGTGGAAATTATTTTAAAGGTAAAAAAACACTTATAATCAACTCAGATGAGAACAATAGGCCTATTTAACCCTCCGAGTGTCTCTTGTTTTGGCCTTAATGTCTGCCTATTTTTTGCTCATTTGCAAGGTTTTATTAAAACGGATCTGAGAAGCTTGAAAACAATGTTAATTATACTGTTCTATATACCATTTTGTTTGGAAAATCATGGGCTTCAATATTATACATAAAACATTTAAGGAACATTTGTTTAAAAAAAATTTTTTAGGTAAAAAAAAAATGTTGGAAAATTAAAAAAAAAAAGTTTGCGCTCAATGAAATTGTATAAATTATAGGCCTATAAATATTTGAAAATAGCCACTTTGTTCTAAATTTTGTGAGGATTACAAATATATAATAATATAAGGAAGTAGATTTGCAAATAAATTTAAGTTATGGGCAAGAAACAGATTTCAGTACATAGCGTTTAGCTAAGAATGCATAGCCTAACCATAGCTAGGAATCTGGCTGATAATTTACATCAATATCACTACCTACTTCTTCAGGATCATCAACCAGCCCTTCAAAATCACTTAAATCTTCTTATAATGCACCACGTATATCACTACTTTTGATTTTTAACACTAAAACAATGATAAACGTAATAAAACACAAGCTGTTTACAAATACGCACGTCAGCTGTCTGCTACAATATTTTCGAAACTAAAATGAAAAGCGCTTAGAGACAGACCTCCGGAGAAAGCTCTGAATCTGCCAAATTAAATGATACCTAACTCGATCCAGTTCAATCCGATTTTGTCAGTCATAGAGCCTTCGCCGTAAACAGTGTTTGTGAGTCGATGCATCGACACAAAACACTACACAAAGTGTGTTATGTGTCGAAGCATCGACAAATAACACTCGGAGGGTTAAACCATACGAAAGATCACATTCTAAATTTTCATTTTATTACATAAGTTAAACAAACCCTGTAGCATGTAGCCTATATAAAAATGTCACAACGATTAGAAATCAAATGAATTTTTGGCGCGGCATGACTTTTGCAGCTGACTCTTGGGAATTAGCCTACCCTGCTCGGGTAATTTTCGTCTGGGATGTTGCGGGTGGTACCACTCAATAGCCATTGATTTTATCTTCATTGTGGTAGTGATATTCAGAACAAAATATTGAAAAAAAATTACCGAGGCTGCTTTTGAAAAAAAACAAATCTAACTTTCTTTATTTTTTTCACTTAACCGAAAAAACACACTGCCTAAATCATTATTATATTACTATTTCTAGATTCTTCAGTTCTTTCCGAACAAAATGAATATGAGGTTGGCTAGGTTTACTTGTACGGTTGAATTTTAACGAATTGAAAAAAAAAAGGTCTGAAAAATCGCCAAAATGGGTTGGCCATTCCCCATTTCTAACATTGGCCAAACTGCTAGGGTTAAGACCTTACTTAGTCAAAACTAGAGTCCAGTTCCAAAATGTGTGAAGAAGGGGAGTCTACTGTTCACCCAAAGCTAATCTCTATTGACTTTTATCAAGAAAGATACTGTTTGAAGAAACAGAGGGTAATGTTGATAATTAGCCTAACTGTTGGTTGGTTACAGGTGTTGTTGAACCTAGCGCGAGTCATGTTTAACCTGCAGTACTTGGATGATGCCATCTACCTTACTCGCCGGTCTCTGGAGGTTCAGCCCCCAGATAAGAGCGCCTGGCAGCAGTATTTCACCTTGGGCGAAATTTTTAAGGTGAGTAAAATCTGTTAAACTCCCTACTCAATCTTACTTCCATATATGGATGATTTGTCTCCAGTGTTTTACTTGTATAGGCAGACGCAGAGGCAGCGATTGACCATACATGTGGTAAGGGGGGAATCCACAAAAAAGGCATGAGGTTGTCTTATGGAGTAAACATTACATCAACTTATAGATGTATCCCCTACCCCTAATGTCCTTCCTATTCACCACCACTGCGCAGAGGCACTCATTAGTAGGCCTAAGGTATTTTATGGTTAGTAACTTACTTAATGCATCTTGAGTGTAGGCACAGAAAACATACTACTATAACCCAGAATGCCAACCGCGTGGTAAAAATCGTTAAGTACTTTGAGAGAGCTTTGCCTGTCAATTCGTAGGCAGCGCCACCAGCGTTGTTATGCTGAGTGCATTGCAGCGCTGGTGGCGCTGCCTACAAACTGACAGGCAAAGCTCTCTCAAAGTACTTAACGCTTTTTACCATGCGGTTGGCATTCTGGGTTATAACTTAGTACCGGTAGTATGTTTTCTGTGGTGTAGGGCAAGTGGTGCCTTGTGTATGATACTAAATTTATCCAAAAGACTGATTGATCTAACTCAGTTTTGGAAGTGAGTGTAATTTAACATAATGGGATGTAAATAATAATATTACTAATGTGTCACCTATTATACCTTGGCAATAAGCTACATAGAATACCTTAATAATTAATTCGTTAAGTCATCTGAACTTTTTGAACAACCCAATGATTCAGCTGATTGTGTCTTCCTATCACAAGCGTCAATCTGAAAAGAATAAAAGTAACGGGAAACCCTTCTTATATAAGCCAAACTACATCAGCTATAAGTTTAAAAAATATGACTTGGAACCTTACATTCTTCAGCTAGCCTACAAAATCTACCGTTTTTAACTTACCAGACAAAAAAAAATAAAGAAAAATGGCCAACAAACTTTTCATGTCATATTTCAAAACTCATTAAAAGTACCTACCAAATTTATTTAAATATTTAAAATAGAAAATATTAGTTTTAACCTTTTAATTAGAACTAATAGTGACAAAGAATTATTTAACTTAAATCTTACAAAATTTCAAACAAATACCTTTTACTCTAAGTAGGCTGTATGCTGAGTCCTTTCCGGGTGGGTGTCCAGCCAACCTCAAAAACCGGGAATTGTCCGTGAGTTTTGATGAGCAGGAAAAATCTGTGAATTGAGCGTGATTTTTGTAAAATAAAACGGGAACAGAAACTTGAATATTCCAATAATCACTAAAAATCAGACCGAAATCTATGATTTTTGTTGTTTTGCGTAGCCTAGATGAAAATCGTGATCGCGAGTAACTATTGCAAACAAATATCACGTTCCAGTTTTGCCCTCTGAAAAGTTAAAATTTTGAACCTGGGAAACCTGGAATTGTCCTTGAATTTTATTTTGATAGAACGCTGTACATACACTGTCTTGGAAATAGAGAAATAAGTTTTTGCACTATTACCAACAACAATTTGCTCTTCTATCCTACCGCAATATGGCCAACTGAACTTCGCTTGCTAGTTTTAGTTGGATAAGCCTGCTCCATCTGTTGGTCTATTGTGACCTTTGGCGTCATTTGAACTGTTGGAGAGCAGGTGAAATAACACTCGTGTCTTCCAATTAACAGGGACCGGCTAAAACATAATGGACGAAGAAGTAGTAGGTGACAAAAATAATACCGGTAGTAGGCCTATTATTTTACGTATTACCACAAAGCTAAGGAACGTTCCTCTTTACTATTGCAAGGCAACTGCATTTCCCATTTTCAAACTCTGGTTTGTGTGTTGCAGGCTTATGGACACTACCAGGAGGCCACGCTACATCTGCGTCACTGCTTGGAGCTGCGGCCGGAGTTTGAGCCCGCACTGGCAACACTGCGAGACATGGAAGCTCTTCCTGACAACAACATACACATCTACACTGTCCTCATCATCATCTTCCTGGTGAGTAACTGAAATTGTTTTGGCTTCAAATCCCGCCAATCACCAATGGATTTTATCTAAGTGATAGGCTTCTAGAATGAAGTAATGCTGTTTAAAGTTAGAGCCTATGTCCTAGCATTTTCCCAAGGTGTGACTAGCTGGCATGCTTGTTCAATAAAAAAAAAGGAAAAAATCCGAGAAATTTTACAAGTTTTAGAAGTAGGGCGATTTTTGAAGGTGAAGAAGTGAGATTTCTGGAAAACGCTTAAGAGTGTTTTGTAGAAAATTTAATTCCTGACCATGAAAATTCTTTCAAATCTTTGCTAGTTCTTAATGTTTTCGAGACACAGCCGTTTAAAAAAATGTGTTTTTCTTAAAAAAAAGGGGCAAAAAATTCAAATTTTGAACTGCCATAACTTTTGATAGGATTGACGTAGAGATCTCTAGTTTGCACCATTCTTTTTCTTTTTTCATGCCCTCACATATATGTCATGATATGTCAAAAGGGGTACCTTGCAATTTAAAAAATGTAAGCTAAGGGTAGGGGGTATATGAGACTTCGCATTAAATTCACAACAATTGTGGCCCCTACGTCACATATTTTTATTTATTGCAGTTTTTACATACAGTAGACCCCCTCTTATCGGGACTCCTCGGGACTGAGGCCAGTCCGGATAACGGGTTTTCCAGTTAAACCGATGTCCCCAAAAACAATGTTTAAATGCTTATTTGACTTAAATTTAACAGAGCATTGTATTTAGACACGTGATCACTGGTCTCAAATCTTTCCCACGAGAACGGTCGTTTCAGTACCGCCCACTTCCTGCCGATCTAGTCCGGTTAAAGAGATGCTATTTCCACCGAGTGTATTCCGGCTAAACCGATGTCCGGATAAGAGGGAGTCTACTGTAAATAAAGAAGCAAGTTTAAAAAAAACACCCTGTAATAGATTGGCTTATCTGCACAAATAAAAAAAAAATGTTGAATAGGCCTGTTTGAGGTTTTTAGTATTTTTCACCAAAACAAATATTACACTTAAAAATAATGTTATATATGGTACCAAAGGGGAACTCTCCTAGTTATTTTGGTGGTGGAACCATGCTGATCGGTAAAAGAATCGCAGAGAAATTGGTGAATATCCATAGAAATAAAGACATTGCCACAAACAAATTGAGAACCTCCTCCTTTTGTTGGTAATGGGAAGTCGGTTAAAAGAGTTTTCTTCTTTCATTTCTTTCATTCAACCCTCCTTTACTAATCTTTGTCCAAAATTTGTCTGCATTAAGTCAAATTTAATTGCAATTTTATTTAATCACAGGTGCTGGGCGTGTTGATAACGGTGGTGTCGTCGTGTGATTCCAACCTCGACTCGGAGTTTGCCGAGGTGAAGGCCCACCGCCACTTCAACCGCGCGATGGCCATGCGCTCCCTCAAGATGGGTATATCGCCACGTGCGCTGCGCACCAAGCGTTACAACGGTGGTTGCGGCTAGGCCGGCCATCTGCACTTCTCTCTTTTTATACAGCACAAATTCCTTAGAAATCACATACTTCATAGACGTATCGTACCTTCTCGGTTTTATTATTGATGTAAAATTTCTTTGATGTTGACGTTCGAATGGCATTGTTTGTTGACAAGGTAGACGATCGAGTGAAAATGCAATCTTGGAAACACTAATCAGTCGGATGGTCCTAAGCTGAACTGAGGTTTGTAAATGTCTCTTGTAGTTTTACGTAGTGTTTGTTGTTTGACATGAAAACATACCTAAATACTTAGTTTTTGCAACATGAGTTCTGTTAGGATAATTATTAGTCGGTATTTTTACCACTATAATCTTACATAAAATGTTACTTTTAGATTTTTGCTATTTAGGATTGGAGTCAACCATAATCTAGTATGAAGGATACTTTCTTGTTTTGTTGACAACACTAATAATTAATAATTTTTCTTTTCATGAATTTAAATTTTCCAGAAGTACTAAAAAGAGTTTTTGTCCAAGACGTTATTTCTTAGTGCTCCAATTTGGGATTGGAATGAACTAGTAACCAGGATGGAATAGATGTACAGAAATGATGGGAAACTCATTAAGAGTTAATAATCTAGTCATTCTAAATTAGTGAGGTAATGTATTTATTTTTGTAAAAATTACTTTCTGAATAGTGTTTCTAAAATAGCATAGTTTTAGTTGTAACTTTTTTTGCTTTTCCAATTTATTTTTGGAGTTCTAATAGTATTTATCTGAAGTAAACTATTATCTTAGGTTTTTTCAGATCTAGAACCTCCAATTTCCTTTATTGAATTCTGATCTTTATAAAAGTACAAATCAATATGAATATCATTAACTTGGTAGGAAGACTAGAAAGAAGTTCAAAGTTCAATAAGCTTGTTCACTTGGAAAAATTAGTCATTCATACTGTTACACAATTTAGAATACAGGAAGTTAAAACTGAGATAAAATCACAGCAATATTACGGATATAAGTAAGAACACAAACCATTTGTTGAGGATGAAAGGGGAATTAAAAAAAAAATTTAGAAAAATGTTATTCTAAATTTTTTTAACCTAGAAAAGTTTTGGTAGAAATTATATTCAGTATTATTATCAATATCACTTTGGAAGGCACTTAAAAGCTATTTTATACCCAGATTTAATGTTAGGGCACAACCAACTGTTAGTTTTACAGTTAGTGGTTTAGAAACATATTACATTCTTTCCCAGTCAGTAATAAGCTTTAGGAAAAAGTTCAATATTAAGTTTATCTAATGATTCTTTGTGTCTGTCTGCTGTCTGTAATTTTATTCCGTGAGTCAGTTGTATAATCTTTTCTTCCCAAATTAAATCCCAATACCAAAAGGATTTAAAAAAATTATCCAATAAATCATTTTCTTTTGAAAAGTTGTGGTTTTATTTTTTTTTTGTATTTTATTAACTCTTACTGTGAAATGTCAAGACTTGCTTGTGGAATAAATTTTAACAATAACAAAACAACTGAAAAGATTGAATCTTGATATTTAGGAACTTTTAACTTCTTTCAATTCATTGGGATGAGTCTCATTATTATTGACTTCAAATGGTTGTGAATATTGTTAATATTAATATTGTGTTCAGTAACTTTTATTTGCTCTTTACTCGAGTTGGCACTTATCTTTATTTGTGTTACATTTGTGGTCACAAAATCCTTGCAAAATGTCAAGTTGTAAAGAATTTTATATTTTCAATATGTGCCATATTGTAAACTTCATTAGAGTTAGCTTTATTTTCTGTCATTTGTTGTACATAATTTATGTATAAGATAATTTTTTGTACTTAAGGAATAAATTTGTGTTGATTAATGAATTATATTTTTTACATTTGTTCAAATTTCAAATTATTTGCTTCATATGCAGCTTGAAAAAAAATATTTGTCTTCCAATCAGAAAGTATTCATTATTTTGTACTTGTTTTCATTAAGAATAATTTATGTAAAAATTGACTTCATGACAAAATATGATATTACCTCCAGTTTCTATTAGTGTGTTTGTGTTTTTAAATAAGAATTCAAGACATTTTTGGTGTATTGGTATTATTACGATAGAACCCCGCTAATTTTATCTTGGATAGTCCGACTCCTGGCCAATGCGACGGTGCCATCGCCCATGATGATGTTATCACGGTAATATTGTGATCATTTTCTATTGTTGTTTAAACATCATCACTGTCTCCTGAAATCGGGGCAAAAATCTTGTTTGTCCTCCGCGGTCATGGAAACATCATCATCGTTTCCCGTGATTGGGGCAAACCCTTGAATATATTTAGCAGTAACATCATCAGCATCTTCCGTGACCAAGGAAACATTATCGTCATCCCCCCTATCGCGACAAAATCTAAGATACCCTTTGCAATAATAGAAACATTATCATCGTCTTCCATGATCACATAACAATCTTGTGGTCAATTGTCTTCGCGATCTCTTCAAAATACTGAACATTTTCTAAACTCGCTGGAACATCATCTTCGTCTCCCCAATAACGGAAACTTAATCCTTATTATCTGCAAACATGACAAACTCATACCTGCGGTAATGGAAACATCATAATCGTCAACCGCAATCGCGGATTAATCCTGAACATGCTTTTTTACGGATAATCCCATCTTTTCACAGACCCAGATTCCAGTCTCGTAGGTGACGGATTAGCGGGGTTGTACTGTCCTGGTAAAGTGTTTTTTAGAGTTAATAAAATAAATTTGAGTTATTAGAATTTATTAGCAGTTGGTTCATTGCAAATTAATTGTTGAAACTTAAAATTACACCTATTCTTTAGCTCTAGTAAGAAGCCAAAGTACATTATTCTTTTGTTCCTTCAACGGATTGGACAGTAAAGATCTCCTGGTTAGACCCATTTGTGTTCCGATTGTCACAGAACCAAACAGTATAATTACTTTGAATTTTGGTCTTGGTATTTCTATGTCTCAGAATGATAATTTAATTTTGTAAAACTCGACCCATTGTATTCCTTACGAAATCACTACAAACATTCCACATAAAAACAAAATGACTCTAAAATAAATGTTGGCTTGAATTTATTTTACATAAGATTTAGTTCAAAATCAGGGGCGATTAGTGGGAGGCTGCCTTCTGCGCATTAAGAATGAGATGATGAATAAGGAAAATTCTAATTAATAAAAAAAACTGAAATTCTCAATACTGTATACTGTATTTAAAATATGATAACCTATTTTCCGTGCCCCCCCCCCCCCCTAAAAATGTATATTCATTTACCAATGTCAAAGAAACTGTATATTGGATGTGAACCCATTGCTACTTCATAAAAAATGATTTGATATCGTATGCTTTCCTTTATAATTCTGGTGTTATTTCTGTGTATTTTCAGGGGGTTCTCAAAATTATAAGTAAAATCAGTCCTAAATATTTAGTTAAGCAAATAAATGTGTTGGGTTTTACGTTGTGCCAACTTAGGCTTTGCGAATTTCACAGGTAATTGTTTATTTTCTTATTGGTTCCTAAGTAGTTGTTTCAGTTTGTTTATATTGTGAACAAGCAATGAATAAATAATTTATTATGAAGCAAACTACTAGTGTTTGTGTTTTCCTTTTTGAAATTGTGATTGTCCTAAGGTTTCATAAGGTTTTTTAGTCTTTTAATGCCTTTGTTCTATCCACCCAAAAACTTAAACTTTGAAATATTCAATTAGTTTAATATGCCTTTTTGTATTTGATCATGTTTCCACTCATCAACACAATCAAACAAATTGTTTTAAAATTGTTTTTGGTAGACACAAAGTAGGCCTACTGAAGAGTCCCTTATATCTGGCCACCATAGTTAACCAACCTATTAGAAAAACTATGATTTTTACTTTCTCCCCCTATACCATAGTATATGGAGAAAGTATTGTTTTCGTTAAAATTTTCGAGTGAGTTTTGAGTGGATCTCCGTTTTAGGTCCCACTGGACACAAAAAAGAGGTTTTCAAAGTGATGTCTGTCTGTATATGTGTATGTGTACAGAGCTACAGACCACACCTGTGGTCCGATTTTTATTAAATTTGGTACGTATGTACTAAATACTAATCCATAGCATCTCCAAGCTTTTTATTCCTTTTACTGAAATTTTGATTTTTATTGGTGATTTCACATAAAGTGACAGAAAAATTAAATTTTGTCAAAAATAGCCTGAATAGTTTTAATAAACATTTAGAATGCAATAGTCCTTTAAATTCTGAACAAAATGGTACAGCTCCCATTTCTGAGAAAATATAAATAACGGTTCAAAAGTTATTGTAACTTATGTTATTTACAAAAAAAATTATGGAAAATCTAATTTTTGAAAAAAAAAAATCCATCTGAAAAGATTTCTGAAATAATGTGCAAATCGCAATACATTCACCCATACTGTCAACATGCACCTCAGCTGTCCATTGTTTATTAGGTGGTCAACAGTGTTTCCTAATGCAGAATGTCTCTGCTGAAATCATGATTTTTTGACCATGCGCATGATGCAGCTATATTTTCTGTATGACACTTGGTTTTCTTCTTACATAAGCTTTTGCGGCAGCTGTCATGAGTGTTCATTGTGGTGTTTTAGGTCATCAACCACCTCTTCACAGTAGGGACGAAACGTCTGGCAACAGTGTATTAGTGGGGACACGGTTGACACAAAAATCCCCCTTTGACCTGGTTTTCTTCATTATACTGCTTTCCAAAAAAACACTTACCCTTATTGGTTAAATTACTATAGCAAAGGTTTAACATAGTTCACTTGGGATGAAAAGGAATTTTTTTACCCAGTGCAGAATAATTGTCTTGGTACAGTGGATACTGGGGTACTGCATAGCAACGCTGGTGGCGCTGCCTACGGACACACTGCTCTGTATGTAGAGTCTCGATACATACGGGAGTGAGTCTGTTAACAGGTTAAGTACCGGCCGTCACACTCCTCCTCCGGGAGTGAGTGTGTTAAACCATTGTTAAATGTACCTGAGTGGGAACAAAAGGTCTTACTTTTTGAACTTTGGAATCTGAAATAGACCTAAAAATATAATAGGACCAACACTGTAGGCCCATCAAGTCAGTTTTGTATAATTTGAAAGAGTTTCTCATATGGTGAGCTACTATTGGAGTTCAATTTTCTCATTATAAGTTTGTCGTACTGATAGTTGGAGCAGACATGAAAGTTAGTTGTATCTAGTTTATGCTAGTTACCCTTTTTGTTTAACATAGTAAAAAAGTTGGTTTGTAGAAAAGAAAATTATATTTTACAACAGTTCACTCAATCAGATAGATGTAACAAGGTTCGTTTTCATTCTAAAACTGGTTTCAACATCAGGGATCTATCTATATATTAATAGGCAAGCATGTTTCTTTAAAACCTTTTTTCTCAGCTCGTGTGCATCGTAGGGAAAATCTACGCATACTGTTAGAAAGCTATTTTCCTGTAGGTGTGCAGAATCCCTTTATAAATTAAAATAGGCTCAAAAATAAGCACAAAAAATGAATTTACAATTTTGAAAAATTTAACATGGATATTATGAGTTGCCATGCTGGTGACGAAATAACAACGAAATATAAACAGAAAATCAAAACAAATGGAAGAAACTCCAATCACATGTTTTATTCAAAGTGTGGAATGAAAATAAAGAAGTCTGTACATTAAATATTTTTGGTCGAGTTTCGACCACTGGACGACCTCTAGTACCTACTTATTATGTGAGCCATAGTCAAATCCACAAAGTTTAAAGTCCAAATCATTTAAATGGGTTTTTAGATATTTGTGACTAAGGTATTACATGAATAAGCCACATTGTAATGTAAATATTTTTTACTAATCTAATTACATTGCTGTTAAAATCAAACAGAACATCTAACACTATGAGTTGGGCAATTTGTACATAGAATGGTCAGAAATAAAGTACAATAAATTTGATATCCTGTGTACCTTGTTAAAACACAGAAAATGTATGCTTACAATTTGTGCTAGTTGGTAAAATAGTCAACACTAAAGAAATATTTCAACCATGTTACTTTAAAATATTTCTATTAAATTCGTTATAGTATCCCTGAAAATAATGGTGTAATATGTGTTTACCTTGATCAGCACTTTCCAAAAGTAAAAGGGGTTTATTTTCATAAACGCTGACAGGATTTTTATAAAGCTGTACACTTCATAACTTACATCTTTTACTTTAAATACAAGATTTAAAAAAATGTAGAGTAGCAATTTTATTTCTTACTTATATCAACCTATATAAATAAACAATTACAAAAACACGGAACATTTAGCTAAATTTAACTTACTGCAAATACACTCATCTCTTAAAATATAAAGATAATGCCTATTGACAGCGTACTTGTTATGGCTAAAATAACTTTGATAGTTAATCACTTAAAACACATTTAAGAATATAAAAGTGACTACTTGAAAAAATTTTATTTTTGGACTTAAACCTCACCAATAACTAAAAATGAGAATTTACAAGCAAGAGATGGAAAACTTGCTAAAGGTTTTCTTCCAGAGTGCAAATAACTGTACTATTTTTCATCGTACTACAATGTTTTGTGGTCATCATAATTAAAGACCAAAAGAAGTTTTTTTTAAGCTCTTATGTAGTAAAAATCAGCGTTAGTTTATGAAATTAAAACCATAACTTTTCAACACGTTGTTGGCATTGTGATAACAAAGCTATAAAAGACATTGACTTCATTCTACACTCATCTTTTACTCATATTCAAATTAAATACACAGTAGGCCTATCAGTTCCTATCTCGTATGAAACAACAATGCTGACTCATTGCTATGTGTATTTTGAAACAAAGAAAGTACAGGACGAGTGACAATGAATCATATACAGTTTACAATGAATCATATACAGTTTTACCCCCGGACACATCCAACAGATACTTCAGCCAGGATAGTGTAATAAAAGCACAATGATAAAAAGCAGCTGAACACAGTTTTTAACGGACAAAGTACAATTTTTACTTTATCCCCCTATACATGGAGAACAATTGGTTTTTGTCAACATTTTTGAGTTGAGTTTTGGGTAGATATATCCGTTGTGGGTCCCCCGAACCAAAAAAGTGGTTTTCAGAGTGATCTCTGTGTGTGTCTGTATTTGTTTTTATGCACACGACACAGTATAATTACAGTTTAAAAAATTAATACAAGTTATGTTATTTTTCCATAAAATAACGGAAAAATGGATTAAAAACGGTTTAACCGATTTTGACTTAAATTTTGTAAACTCCAAAATTGGTGTGAAACTTAATGTTAAAAACTTATTGCAACCTTTGTGATTTCCCACATAAGATGGTTAGGATACCTAGTCATGGCTATTCGACTAACCATTGCTAACCCATGATAAGGGTTGTTGACAGACAAGCTAATGCGAAAAAGGATGTGTCAGTTGCTGATACCATTTATTTACTTAACATCAAACTGGCCTCCACCAGATTACTAATTATCCTGCTGCATTGTTGCAACTTAATTATTTTATTGATGTTGCTTACCAATGGTGATTGATGCAGGATTGATAAAATTGTATAATTAGCCATAGTTTATGTTAAATACATACTTTTTAAATTTTGTTCAATTTTTAGTGTGGGGAGAATCTTGCATGGGATAGTATTTTGCAAGCTCTATCTTTTCAATTTGTTTGTTAGATTTTTAACATAATCTCAAGCCTGCATAACCTCACTTCTGGCTCTTGGTTTGAAATAAACTGTTTCACCATAGTACACTCCAATCTTCAAAACCACAGGTTTGATAAACTATAAAAACATGATCTTAAATAATTCCAGCTACCCATTACCAAAATATTCTATAATCTTTTTTTTATGGTGGTAACCCTACTGTCTTTAGTCCAAGATTGCATACAAGTGTAACCCCTAATATGTATTTAAATTAAAATATCAATAATTCAACTTCATTATTGTTGTTGCTGGTATAAAATTTAAACAGCTTACTAATCTGCAATTGAAAATAGCAAGCCCCGTTTACATGTTTGTAACTAAACGTTTGAAACAGTGATGCTGACAAATATTTTGTTGCTAAATGCAGTTTTAATGTGTTGTTAAAAAGGTACTTTAAACAGATGCACAGCTTATTGTGGTAAGCTGTTGAAAATATCCAAATGTTTTGAACAAAAGAAAACTACGGTGGCGTTCTTTGGATTGCTGGAAGCTTTTGCGTGAAACATATGTTGCAGAACTGCTAGCTTAAATCAAAGTTATGTGTACAAATATTAGAGAATGTTTCATGACTGATCTAAACACACTGAAAGTAAACTGACTGAATTAACAGGTATTTCGGCCCTAGGGCTGAAAGACACAACTTGGTCAACAACATAAAGTTACAGAGCCAGATGAAATTATTATTTTATGGTGAAAAATCATTGAATTTATTGACAAACTATAGTTTTTTTCCTAAATGATTGCAGCACAAATACTAATCTACAAATACAAATTTTATGTATTGCTTATATATTAGTTAAAAGTAAACAAATGACAATTAGGCCAATCTATTTAAAGACTTTTATCGATTGCAAACTAAAAACAATTAACACATTAGCAAAGCTATAAAGAGTCTTATAAGAAAAAGTTGCATATCATTTATTTTAAATCCAGCTCTATCTAAAGTCTACACTTTATATTTTCGAGATTAAAAAAAGTAAAGCTACTGCACAATACCTTTGACATCCCATTCTCATGTTAAAGTTGTCGCCAGTTTTTTAAATCAAAATTGTCATAGTTGATGTGAGTCATTGATAGATTACGCACTAAATTCTGTCGAATACACTGACTTTTTAACAAAGCAAACTAATGGATTAACTTATGGTGAGCTATAGCAACTGTTATGACCCATCAACTTGGTCAGCAACAAATAAGGTGGAAAATGGAATTTTAGACCCTAGCACATTCTGTGACTGGCTCGCATAACTATGTTCTTTTTTAATGAAAAATTGGCAACAGCTGTTCCATAAATGGGATGTCTACTTTAGTACGGTATTCAATAGTCAATGTCAATACTTTGCTCTTGATACAGAAAAATTAAAAGTGAACAACAGTAGTATTAGCATTGACTATATAACACTACAGTGTTATAGTGTAGTAGTGTGTTACAGTGTAGTGTTATATAGTCAATGGTATTAGCCTGTTAACAAGTAATTGTCTACAAGTTTTCAAATTCTTAACAGTGATAAATTACAAATTGTCATATTTACAGAAGGAAATATTACAGCTTTGGCAACAAAAAATCATAGTGGTAACCTCTTTTTGTGTATCTTAAATAGAGCTTACATTACATTAAACTTTTTAATTATTTGTACATCATTGACTATTCTGAAGATACATCTAGCCTAGTTGTATCAACGATTATTAATTTACAAGTGCAATGTCACGAGATGGATCATAAAAATCAAAAGGACAGAAACCATGTTGAAAAGTCTTCTTAAAACTAAATAAAATATAACAACTCTACTGTAGGCTATATCAAACATTGCAAGGTTATAATTACACTATTAGGCTACTGTATAAAACTAAATTAAAAATAAGCTACATGTCTTTGGCACCACAGTTGAGCGTTTCTAATAACATTTCATCTTTTAGTTTGAACTGTACTCCAGCAATCAAAACCCCTAGTAAAATATAAATATTCAAAGATTCTAAATTTAGTCACAGAAGACATATTACTATAACCCAGAATGCCAACCGCATGGTAAAAAGCATTAAGCGTTTTGAGAGAGCTTTGCCTGTCAATCCGTAGGCAGCGCCACCAGCGTTGCTATGCTGAGTGCATGGCAACGCTGGTGGCGCTGCCTACGATTGACAGGCAAAGCTCTCTCAAAACACTTAATGCTTTTTACCACGCGGTTGGCATTCTGGGTTATAGTAATATGTTTTCTGTGATTTAGTGTACTAATGTAATGTGGCAAGTGGCCTTGTCAAAAATGTTGAAATCTTGTACCTAGCCCTAGGCTATATAGTTAGTAATATAGTAGTTTATATATTATGAAATTTTGTCACACCACTTAAGAAGAAATACATTACAGTACTAGTAATATGTTTGGAGTTATACGGGTATATGAATTAGGAAAACGGGTATATGAATATTAATATAAACGGGTGGTGTTTTTGGTCTCTGGGGGCCTCAAAACGAAACAGTAAATCCTTCCCGGGTTCAGGTCTTATCATGAGACCTACGGTTGACTTATATCTTAGTCCCTTTATGGGAAATTCAATAAAACCAAGAAAACCAATACATAAGCTTAGTCAATAAAAGTACAACCTCTGATCCCCAACAAACATTGAAAAAGATACAAGTTTGTGTCAATTGTTACAGTTATACAAGTTTAAGTCTAACAAAGTTATTGGACAGCACATCAACATGTTTCAGCACCGGAATGAAAATGACTAACATCTTGTTTAAGATTTTCCAATTACCGTACAGTACCTACCTTATTTTAGTCAAATGTTAGTGTCATTAATACTTAACCTTTTTAAGTCACAGACATTTTCCCATAATTAGATTTTTGTCAAGTAAGATGATAATAGTCCTACTTAGATAAGTGAAAGACTGTGTGAAACTAATTCAGAATATAGAATGAATGCTGTATTCACAACAAGAACAAGATAGTAACCTTATATCTTGTAAACCATCCGGGTATCATCATCTTCAAAAGTGGCAACACCGCTGTCACGTCAAATCGAAACAGCTGTTGCACTAATTTATAATGAACAGTATAGGCCTAGGAAATGTTTCTGTTTAGACTTTTGTTATTTCTGTTACTACCTTGGCAATAGGCATGACTTTGCGACGTTGCCACACACAAATGCCCCGGCCTTGTGTTAAAGAAGGCTACAGTATCTTACATTTTAATTCACTTACTAGCCTAGATAGATTGAAAATTCAGCCTATATTACTTTTTAGCTTCCCATGTTTTCTAAATTAGGCTAGGCTACCTGAATTATTTGAGAAAAATAAGTAGAATACATTACTTGTGGGCCAAAGTCGTACAACAATTTTGAGACTAAGCCCTAGCCTGTAAACTTGCATATGTTCTTACGAGGTTATAAGTTACTTAAGTTAAAATAGGTATTTAAAAATGATTTAGTTTTGTTAAGCACAAAGACGCTTTCATACAGAACATGAAAATGTGTTTGGGCTTTTACACGTTTACTTTACATAGACCTACGCGCTACATAGGGGCCTAAAGTAAAGAACAAAACTTCTTGGACCTTTGATTCCCTCCTTTTAACTTCTTGTGTTTTTCCTTACCTTGTTGCTCCTTGTACCTTCTGATTTCTCGAACAAGTGTATAAAATGCATCATCAACACCCATTCTTGTCTTCGCCGATGTTTCTACAAGAGGAATATTGTACTGCTTAGCAACATCACGAGCTTCATTCATAGACACTGCCCAACTGGACAAGTCACACTTGTTTCCGACAAGAACCATGGGAACTTCTTCTGCATCCTTAACTCTTTTAATCTGTTCTCTGTAAGTACTAATATCTTCAAACGATTTTATACTGTTAACAGCAAACACAAGCAGAAATCCTTCACCAGTCCTCATGTACTGATCCCTCATTGCACTGTATTCTTCTTGACCTGCAGTGTCAAGAATATCTAACAAACAAGTCTCGCCATCAATAACAACTTGTTTTCTGTAAGAATCTTCTATCGTTGGGTCATACTCGTCAACAAAATGGTTTTGAATTAACTGGATAGTCAATGCACTTTTGCCTACACCTCCAGCACCCACAACAACTAACTTATATTCAGTCATCTCTTTACTAAAGAAAAAATAGCGTAAGAACGAAATCGTGTAAAATTATTAGGTCTACTTGTTAAGAAATATTATATTCATTTATTTAATCCAGATGAATCAGATATATCTGGCTCATTACAGTAAATATCACAACAACAATCTGCATCTGCACAAAACTGATTTATTTTAACACCGCTACCTGCTACTGCTACTACCATCCAGTCCAGTTGACACTGTTGAGTGTTGACAGATTCAGTAAGAAAAGCAGACGATAGATTGAGAAGGTAAAAGACGAAGCCACAGCCTTGACAATCAGCAATCGACACTCACTGACGCAGACTAAAAGTGTAATTTTCGTATGTTTATTTTGATGTGAAATATTTGAGTTTATAGCACCATTGACTATGCACCACAATTTTCTTTATAGAAAAATAGACATTTCATTCTGTTTTAAAATGATTCTGTTTTATATATCATTCTGGCAACGACTTAATGCATCACCTTAGACTCAATGTTGCCCTCTTTGTAAAATGTTTGTAATAGTGTCTAAATTGAAAACAAGAAAAATACAATAATATTATTGAGTTTATCAACAGGTACAATTTTTCAGAGGTGGTGCAGTATTAATAGAATGTAATATAGAATATATATAATCAATGACTAATGTCATGAGAGTTGCCTTTGGTCTCCTTAAGTACTATCCAATCCATGTGTAAGAAAATATAATTTTGTTTAGCGTGGAACCGACCTACAGCTGATGTTGACAGGTTGACACTGACATTTCATTCATTTCATACCATACCACCTTTCCGCTTATAAATATAACCTTAATTCTAGATTTATAGTTTGTACATATTATCCAACTTTTATTTATTTTAAAAGTAAGCTAAAGATGGCTGATAAAGGCCACGATTCAAAAGTTAAAAGTGAGGGAAATCCATACGATTTAGATGGCCAACAGTTTAATCCAGACATATACATGCAAAAACTTTTAAAGGTAGGCTATGAGATTGTTAACTTTTTAAGGTTTTCCTCAGATATGGTAAACTTTAGCATACAAATGACTTGATTTCTCCTTTAGAAATTCAGAATAATAAAGGTGATAATAGAGACAGGCTAATTATGTTTATATTTAGACCAAACAAATATTTTGGGACCGATCCGAAGCACTCATACTTTTCATGAATAGCCTAGGTCCTATGCCCCTTCTGCAAGAAACACATCTACTACTATCATCTGTTTCGGTCGTAATATTCTCAGATAAGCACCCTTATACAGGGTGAGTTTCTACTGACGTCCTTAACTTCGCCAGTGGATTATAATGATCAAAAGGAACAAAATAGATGCAAAAAAAACTAGTCTGATTCCGAACCTGTAATTGAGAAATTTGCGTTTTCTAAAAAATATTGGACTTTGTCTCACTAGTATTTATAAAAATAAAAACCAATTAATCTGGCGATTGATATTAAAAATAATCTAATTGGGCATTAAATTTACCATCAAATCAAGAAGGTTACATAAACAATAGGCCTATTTCATTTCATGCATCGGTTCCTAGCCGAATTGAAATTTAAAATTTGGTCTTATTAATTATTTAGGTTAAGTTTAAAGCGTTTGTACCCTTTTTATTCTGGTGCCATGTTATGTCCAACGAGATAAAAAACTTCTTCATTTAATAAGCTTTAAATTTATATATTATTTTAAATTGTTGTATGTAGAAATTACAGAAAAACCACCACCAAACTAAATTAAAACACGGTTTACTGTTTTGGTTTTAGCAAGGTAACAAACCCATAAAAATAATCTCACTGATTTACACATGTCTCGTGTTATGAAATCAGTTAATTGTAGGCCTACTCGTTCAAATCAGCTGATTCAATTGTTATGATCTGTAAACAAGTCAAAATCAGTTACCGGTATAGTAAATAACATATTAGTACAATCATTAATTATTTTTTATTTGGTTTCCACATCAGATTAAAACGCTTGTTTGTTATTTTCATGTTACGGATCCTTTCACAAGTTCAGAATATGCTCATATGCATTATGTTTATGGTTTTTGTTCCGGAAATGCATCTGAAAGTGTTTGTGAGTACATTCAACGCATTCCATACAGGCGGATTCCTGATCGAAAAACATTTATTCGGGTCCACCAGTGTTTGCGTGAAAATTGAAGGTTTCCCACCAACGGCCGCTTAGGTGGCAGTTTTATGCAAGATGTTGGATTGGAAGAGGCTGTCTTGGAACGGGTGAGTGAAGATCTGAGGATAAGTACGAGGACATTAGCCCTTCAGTTCAGGGTCTCGCAAACCTTTGTGTCAAAACTATTACAAAACAGGGGTTGCACCCATTTCATTTCACGCGTGTCCAGAAACTCGAGCTGAGAGATCCACCTCAGAGGCTTCAGTTTTGTCAGTGGATCCGGCAGGGATTTCCTGAAAACAATTTTATGGACTGATGAATGTTCGTGTATGAGAGATGGAGTCTTTAATTTCCATAATGAGCATTACAATGCTGACAATAACCCGCACCTCGTTCGTGAATCTCGGAGTCAGTCACGATTCAAGGTAAATGTGTTGGTTGGATTGATTGGAAAGCGAGTGATTTGACCATATTTTGACCTTCCTCCAACTTGTGACTACTCTACTCTTAATAACCATATTTTATATATTTGTTCAGACATTAGAATACCTAGTATAGGCATTGACTATGGGCTAGGCTATAAAATAAAATAGTTAAAGGGTAAAAGTTAAAAATACTAACCAAACCCAGCAACATGATAAAATATCAAGACGTGATATTTTAAGATATCATGTATATCTTATAGGTATTATATTATAGGTGGTGTTCTGTGATCTACCCAAGGTGTTTGATTGTGTAGACTATGTCGTTTTAATGAGCAAACTTCGACATTATTCATATTCTGGCATGGCTTTGTCTTGGATTGATTCTTATTTAACTAACAGGAAACAAAGAACATCAATTATAAAAAAATGGCAAAAAGTTTAACTCAAATTGGCACGAAGTTAAATGTGGTGTCCCACAAGGTTCGATATTAGGTCCTTTACTATTTTTAATTTGTCGTTGCCATACTGTTCTAAACTAACCTAACCTAACCAACCAAACTTGCTGTAACATTTTAACATACTGTATGATATTGCCCACATGCCATTTCTGTTATCAAACGGAATTACTCAAATTAAAATTACGATTACATAGCATCACATTTTGCTAGGGGGGTAGTATTCCAGTCGCAGACACGGCTACCATATTGGTTAGTTGGCAGATTTTGTGACGTCACATTTTACGTGGGGGGGGGAGTAGTTTTCTGGGGTAGTATTCCGCATCCCCTTATTATTTTATATCAATCAACAAAACAATCAACTACAGTCCAACCTCAAATCTTGCTAAAATCATAACCAATTTATTTTGATTTGTACAGATGGAGTTGTAGGATCAAAGTTCTACCCAGAAGACCACAATATGGCCTATAAGCCTAGAGACACAGTCTGCCCCAGCACATCCAATCAATCAACGAACCCAGCAACATTAATAATAAATATTTAACTTAGTTGATACTACAAAGCCTTTTAAATTTTCAGGAGTACAATCTTCAGCAGATAATGGATCATGAGACAGACGTTGTCAAAGACACTCTTACCCTTCACTCCGATATGCAGACTCTGGTGTATGAAAATTACAACAAGTTTATTTCAGCCACTGACACAGTCAGGAAGGTAAGTAAATATTTATATGTGCTTAATTGACGTGGCTTCTGAGAAATAAAAGGCCTAATTCGGTAACTAAATATGAGCAAGTTGTGAACATACCACAATATTTCTTTATTGGCAAATTTGACCTTTTTCTAATTGGTCGCCACTGCAGCCTCAAAACAAACTTAAAATCCCCTAACTTAAGCCTGTGTCACACTAGGCTACTTTACTAGCCGCTAGCGAAATAGCGGATACTAGTATATACACTAAGTAGCCAAATGGGACACAGTCAGTGGCGGCTAGTAGGAGTAGCACGCTAGTCAGATTTCAATACCCTTGAGAATTGAACATGTCCAATTTTTCTAGCTACTAACTAGCGGCTATTGATTCACGTGATCAACTAGTGGCTACTATGTAGCCAGTGTGACATGTGTATTAGCGTATTACCTAGCAGCTAGTGGCTGTGTATGTTTGGAGTTGGTTTGTTGTGGAAAGGTGGTCGTTTCCAATAATTAGATTTGTTAAAATTAGTGAAGTGAAGTGGTACAGTGGAGACATAATCAACTTTTTAAACATTTATCGGAAATATAAATGTCTTTGGGATATTACATGTCCTCATTATTTAAATCGGGACTTAAAAAGTCAAGCGTTTGCACAACTGATTAGGAAGGAGGTAGGCTATAGTATATTCTGGTTTGCCCATGCAAGAAGATGGGCTGAAGAAGAAGATTGAAGTAGTAAGGGATGGTTATCACAACCAAGTACCGGTAAATAAAATTAAGAAGTCCCAATATGAGGTACCGGCACAGAAAACATTTACAAACCCGTAATTCAACCCGGCTTATACCAACAGACGACATCTCACATAAAAACTACAATTTCCCTTCCTGTTCGGAGGTAGGAATGACATTGACTAGCTGAATCGCTGCTTCTACATTTTTTGTCTGGCAGCTTTACTCAAGGCTGTCCCTAAGGTTGGCGGCGCCTGGAGCAAACGTGGTCGTGGCGCCCCCTCCCCCCCAGTAATAGTCACATTCAAATATTTTAATACAAAAAGACGCTGCGCAGCGCCCCCTCAGCCACGGCGCCCGGGGCAGCTTGCCCCGGTTGCCCCCCCTTCGGACGGCCCTGGCTTTACTAGTGGCTACTTCACCAGCCGCTACTAAATAGCCTAGTGTGACACAACCTTTAGAGGAAAAAGTGCTGCTACTTAAGTGCAGAACAATAATGTTTGACTTACACTTCTCTAAAAGCAAAAATAAACCGGTTGTGAATTGGATCTACTAAGTTAACTAAAGTACATAACTTTAATATTTTACTACTAGATGACTTAATTTTTCTATTATCTCAAATGCATTATTTATTTTCAATTCAGAAATGTAATGCAATTTTTTAGATGAAAACAGATTTTAAGAAAATGGAGGATGAAATGGACTTGCTAGCAAAGAATATGGACTCTATCACATCGTTTTCCGAGTTGATCTCTTCAACATTGCAGGTAGTCTATATGGTTTTCTGATAAATTAATTTAGTGTCCACCATTAGATTGTAGCCTAAAAATAAATAAAAAATCACAATGTGAAAATAATTTTATGAAACTCACTTTTTGTGGATATTCATAGGCATTCACTGTGGATGCGATACTCCCTGGTGTGGATTAACGTCCGCACGAGTGAGTACTAGAACTATCCGCAGTACTATCCTGATAATTAGACCAATTCGTAGATATTAAGACAAAAATGTGGTTCGGATAAACAATAAACTGTAGGTCCCTTAGTTGCCATTAGCTGTATGGGCTATCAATTAACAGCTGTGTCTAAGGAATATGTCGACCTTGGTCACTGACAAGACTACAAGATCGCGCCACTCATTCTACACTCATCTCTATTACTTATGAAGTTAAACGGGGCAAAGACCGTGGGTACAGCTAGTGTTAAATCAAATAAAACTAGAGGACTTAAGCTGCTCCGCAGTGTTAAAATAAATATTATGTCCAAGAAATAATCAAATTTATGATTTTTGATTGAGTATTACAGTATCTTTAGCTTAACTGATTCAAACGGCCAATAGCTCAAAAATAAAGCCTATAATTTACTGATTATTTTGAGATTAAAAAACATTAACAATACTGGAGCTATTGATTTTTAATCATAGAAAATCCTTATGAAAAATAATTTTTATGTTGGTTGTTACCTTGCGTTTGCTTGAAACTCGTTCGATTTGAATAACTAATAGCGTAAATAAAAGCCGATATTTCCCTGAAGGTTCTTAGACCAAAATATATAGGATTATATAATTATAATTATAACTGGTGAATACATCTTAAATTAAGGTAAGAATTCAAAAATGAATCAAACTATTTTTTTTGGTCGAGTAATCCAGTAGGTAAATATATGCCGATGCTTGATGTGAAATCTTTGCGTGCATGCCTTCAATTTGAGATCTCAGTCAAGAAAATTGGTTGGGTAGAAGAGCCAAACGAACTCGGAAAAGAAGAACCAAATTTAACTGCCATAAGAAATACAAGGGGAGCAAATTTCGTTTACCTGTAAGCCAAATGGGATTATAGTATACATATATGCCGATGCTTGATGGCAAATCTGTGCGTGCATACCTTCAATTTGAGACCTCAATCGTGAAAATCGGTCGGGCAGAAGAGCCAAACTAACTCGGAAAAGAAAAACTAAATCATTAAAATATATAAGATGGTGAGTTGATGGCTCAGTCGGTAGTGTCACAGACTTCGGGTCCAAGGCAGCGATGTCGTGGGTTCGGATCCTGGTCACTGCCACTACTTTTTATCAGTACAGTTTACCCTTGTAGCCTACTGTACTGGCTCACCTCTTGCTTTGCTGAATACATTCCACGCACAAGTCCTCAGCCTATGTGGACAGTCAAATGCAAGTTAAAGAGGCTGCCAACCTCTTAAAAAAAGTCAAATCCATTCTTGTTGGTGGAGTTGATAGTTAGGTCTGATCGATGACTGATCAGTCTAAAAAGGTTTCGTCCCATCTAGAGGAGACAGTATCTTATAGAAGTTGTAAAAATTTGGGTTTGGCAAAATGAGTAAATAAATATATTTTATTCATAAAACTTTTAGTCAAATGCACTTGTTACAAATACCTTTTTCCTTTTTCCTGTTTCAGGATTCTAGACAACAAATAGCTCGATTGTCTGGGATTCATTCTCTTCTCAAACGTCTACAATTCCTATTTAAATTGCCAACAAAACTAAAAGCATTAATGGAGGAAGAAAATTATGCAGAGGTATTGTATTTTAATTTTAGTTTTAAGGTGAGAAAAAAATTGAGATTTATTTGCATCTTATTAATACATTTTTGATGTTTTACACTTAATATTAAACTATTTAGCAAAAAAGATTTAATTCATGGGTATTTTCAATTTTTTAAATGCTGTAAGTTTGAACAATTTTACGATTTTGGCCCAACAATGTTTTGCATTTGATATTGGATATTTATAAAATTATAAATTAAAATAATCGTTGAATCTTTCTCAGGCAGTTCAAGACTACTTACACACACAGCGAGTACTGGAACAGTATGGGAATTTGGAGAGTTTCCAAGGAATACAAAGGGAATGCAATGATATCCTGGACCAACTGAAGGAGCGACTCCGATCGCAGTTCAAGAGCAAAGACGTAAGCAGAACAGTAATCAACGTAATTAGTGAGGAGTTTTTCTATATTCAATGAAAATATCGCATTAAGTTTTCTTAAATTTAAAAAATGCAGCAATCCAAAAGGAAGTTAAAAGAATATTGTTGGTTTAGTGAAAAGTAAGGGACTTTTGTCATAGAGGTTTGGAATTAAATTCCATTAGTTGTTAATCTTTTGGCCAAAGACCATTTCAGTTTATTGATAGGTTAGAGCATACAAGGGAAATTATATCTTTATTGAAGGAGCACCTTGTAGCCTTGACTTATCAAAATAGTAGATACCTATATATGGATCAATTGTAGTTAATTTTTTATCACTAAAAAATAATATAATTGAACGAGCCACTCACCTAGAGTATTCTGCTGTAAAAATTATATTCCTTCTTCCTTAGTTTTTGTTGCTGAGATAGTTAATGGGACATATAAGATTGTATAGGCTAGTTGAAAATAAGCCGTCCTTCCATACATTTTTTAGCCTACATATTTAGCGTATTCAACAGAAATAAACTTTTATAATGTACAGGCCACTGCCAAGGAACTGGCCGAAAGTGTTGACCTTTTGCTTCAGTTGGATGAACCAGCGGAATCTTTGTGTTCAGAGTTTTTGGCACATGCAAAGACAAGACTTCAGGATCAGCTGACGTTGCTAAAAGATACTCCATGTCAGGTGTGTACCATCTTTATCTTATAGGATAAGCTTAGCTTTTTATTTTTAAACATACGCATAATAAATGAGTGCATCAGGGAATAACCGCTTAAGCTTGAGTTTTTACTTTGAATCTTACTTGGGAAAACAGGCGATTACGTTACACTGCTTGGAATACCTTGAACATCTTGCTCATATCCTTCTGTACTTCATAATGATAAAACTTAATGTATAATATTTCAACAGAGGATTGAAAAATACAATGTATCATAGCACACAATTATTGCATCAGTGAATGACCACCTATCAATCCGACAAGCAGAAAACACATGTGCATTTATTTTTAATCGTATTAAATCACTTTCTCTACCAAATAACCTGTTAAAGATCCTCACAACCAACAACAATAACCATTTCAGGATTGTTAAACAAGTTTTGTGAATGACCACTATTCATCTAGTAAAATAATGCAAAGTCTGAGGCTTGTTTTAGAGTGTCAAGTTTAGCAACTTGTGTGCATTTATAAACTTTTTTTTTAATTAAATAAAGCACTGCAATTGATCGTCTAATCAAGAAATGGTAAAAAAATAAGGCTTGGTACTTTCATAAGTTGACGTTTCTTATCTTATGGGTTAAGAATGAAGTACCGGTATTGTATTACATTTGATAACAATGTTTTTAGTAATTTGACTACCTAGATTTGTAAGAATCAACTAGGCTCAAAAGGTTATTGTATCTATATTTAATGTTTTTCCAGGACCTTATCGAGTTCATTGACCTGGGTAGCAATGGTTTCCTGAGTGATCTGTGTTTTGTAGTCACCTCCTACAATGACATGTTCATCAACCGGCCTGCGTGTTGGTAATATCTTTGTCTAGTATCTATGTCTGTACCAGTACCACTATCAACAAACATACAATTTTATAATTTTGTTTAGTATTTTTATGTGATTTATTTGATTATTAAATCGGAAAAAGTCTAGTTCACAAAAGTATAGTTTTGTCAACCCATAGAAAATAAAGTAGATTTTACCACTTGATTTGGGTGTTTTGTAGCCTAATGATTTTAGAATCCAATGTTTGTGATAAATCTGACTCGAGGCGAAGTATTTTGGTGGTTTTGTTGATCTTAGTATTAGTAACAAAGCTACCCTATGCATCTCACTCAATTGTACACTCATTCTTTGCTCACATTTGGGTTAAAATACACACCTATGTGGCGACCCCATCTCAACTGATGATAATGATTCCACACAAAGCCCATTGAGGCCAATGTGGACCGGTAACTTTGATGTTAAAAGAAGCTGCCAACCTTTAGCTGGAAAAGAAAATTTACATTTAAGTTGCTCCCAGAAAAATATCCTGTGGGCACCCTTCAAATACTGCAATCTTGGTAGGCTATATTACTAGCTTTATTTGAGTCATAATTTACAAAGCGTAACTATAGTTGCAGTGAAAGTAAAGTATAACTAGTGTTTTAATTGCAGTGACACTGAAGCTGGTGGCAAATTGAGCCAGTTTGTGTTTGACAACATGCATCAATACCTGGACCTGGTACAAAGTCATATAGAGAGTCAACAAGATGGAGGAGATTCTGCCATCTTGGTCCGGGCGTTGGATAGGTTCTACCGTAGATTGACAGCTGTAAACTCACTCTTCGACGACGACGACTTTGTCAAGTGAGACTGGTTCCTTATTTGTTATTGCTAAATGTTGACAAATGAGTCAATATACAGTTTACATTTGAATAGAAGGATTTAATAAGTTAAATATAGATTACTATCTCTGTCAGTCTTCATTTCCTACTCTCCTTCCATTTACCTCATGTCCTTGTCAATCGACCCTCTTCCCAAAGGTCTTCTTCCTTCTGGGCTTTCTAACATTATTTCAGTCCTTGGTCATTTATTTAGTATTAACTTGCCCATCTAAGTAGTCTTGGTTTTTATTGTAATACTATATTTATTTTGCTTTTGATGAGTAAAAGTCTCTATATGGAAGGCTCTAGCTGGAATCTGCTGATCCCATCTTTAGCTGAGGAAGTACTTGAATCATTACAAAATTAAATCACAAAACCAAAGCTTGATAATCACAAAAAATCACAGAAACATCTCTAGTAGTCAAACCAGATGCAAAATAAAACCTGAAAGAAAACAGCAAACAGTACAAATAGAGGTTATCCAAACCTATCAAATGGACTTATCTACACAATATGATAAGCAAGGTTGAGGTCATGTCCCTGTCCGGCAAATGGTGGATCTGATGTTGACAATAAAATGACCACTGCAAGACCTAAAAAGAACAGCGTAGACAATTTTTTGGTTACTTTTTCTCGTAGTAATTTTTCTTGGAGTAATTTGTCCTTGCAGTAATTATTATTTGAGTCTCCAATATATTTTCATTTTGTCATGGAGAACAGACCATATTTCGAATCAAAACATACAACAGACGTTTAAAATCACCAAAGAATATTTCATGTTATTGCCATTGCCACTCAAAAAATTAAGTAGTGACATTCTGCGAGTATTAAACTTAACCTTTTCGTTAATATACTACCACCATGTTTTTCATGTTCAAATCATGTTTAGGGCTAGGTTTTTTTAGGTTGGGTTATAATATGTAATAGGTTACGTACCTCATTCCGTCTTCAGTCTTAACTTAGTCTATGGATAAGAGAGACAAGACAAGACCCATTATCAAATCCTTATTAAAACATCATATTGAATATGGTCAAACGTCCGACGTAAGTCTTTATCAATGTATACATGCAGGTCGATGACACATAAAATTCACACATTTAAAAAAACAAAAGTTACAAATACGTTTAATACGATAGGCCGGCCACATTGAATACGGGACAAACCGATGCAGGTTACACGGCGGACACAACAGAACTCAAGTTAAGACCATAGATCCATATGTCCATAGACTAAGTTAAGATTGAAGACGGAACAAGGTACGTAACCTATTACATATTCGAATATCAGTCTTGGTGGCAAAGATGTTTAAGTTGGGTTATGGTTTTTACATTAGGTTTTGTGATAGTCCAAATTACTATCACTTGTGGATTTAAAACAATTATTTTTGCAGTGCGGGAATGGAGCTAGTAATGCGAGCTGCACGAAGACAATGTCGGATGCATCTCCACGCGCTCAAGTCACAGCTGACAGACAGTCTGTCACACGTGAGACAAGCATTGGCCGCTCCAAGACTGGTGGTGACAGATGCGGTGACACAGAATGGAACAGAACTTGTCACCCAGCTGGTACTCGCCACTGTGGAGAAGGTTAAGGGAGTCTTGCAGGACTTGTTGGTGAGTTGAGGTTCTGGTCTAGCTTTCTGTAAAATAAGTAAGTGAAAGTGAGGATATCAAAGTGTATACTGATTACTTAACTAACTGTAACGCTGCATGGCAGTTAGGCGATCCTTCCTCTTGTAAAAAGACACTGCTACGTTTAAGTAAGATTTGCTCGTCATGTTACATCCCGGTAGGTGGTAGCATCAGCATCTGACGTCAAATCACTAATCAGTGAAATATTTGAAACTAGGACTGTATACATCACATTGTCCATTAGTTCTTAGTTGCTAGCACCAACACTTGCTGATCAGCAAAGGATAAAACAAGGGATGGTGTGATGGGATTCGGGGAATGAAAAAACTGTAACAGGGTATTGCAGGATTGCAGTTGTTTAAAAAATCCCCCCTTACAGGGTTAAAGTCACCACTTGCACAATAGGGTCATAGAAGTTACAGATTTTACTAAGAGGTCAAGGAAGTAACTTTATAGTTACTTCCTTAAGAGAATAAAGATTTGAAGTTTATACTTCAAATATTTTTGGGGACCACAGAAGTTACTGAAAACATCATTGATTTTATTACAGTAGGAAAATGTTATTTCTTTGAAGCTACTTTAGAAAATCAGATACAACAATAATAATACTTGATTAATACATAATAGTAGAAAAATAATATCACTACTGATTGTAGAAAATATAGTAGTGTCCATAATCAATGATATTTGCACAGAATATATAGACAATTTCTGCACAGTGTTTTTTCCAGGTGTTTATTCAGCCTGACTTGGCGTTTGCTGCCAAACCCAAGTTCCTGGAAGCTTTCTGCATAGACTCAGTGAGAGAAGGACTTGTGGTGGGTTTCATACATCACCTCACGGCCACTGCTCGGTCATTCTGCTCAGCAAACGTACCTTCACTCCCGCTACTGCTCATCTTGTCCAAAACATGCCTGGAGTTTGAAGCCACCAACATTCACTACCTCGTAAGTTCACTGGACTATTTTCTGTTTTATAATAATACTAAGAGCTGGTTGGACTGAGAGATGTACACATGCAGGGTCTCGCTATATCACACGTGATGATAAATGTTTGTTACAGCTGAGTCTGACAGATGAGTGGTTCAGCACTGACGGAGGCTCGGCTCTGCTGACCTCAGGTAAAGAGATGTGTGCTGGGACGAGACAAGCAGCACAGGAGCTACTGAACCACTACGTACACATGCAGGGTCTGGCTATATCACACGTGATGATAAATGTTTGTTACAGCTGAGTCTGACAGATGAGTGGTTCAGCACTGACGGAGGCTCGGCTCTGCTGACCTCAGGTAAAGAGATGTGTGCTGGGACGAGACAAGCAGCACAGGAGCTACTCAACCACTATGTACACATGCAGGGTCTGGCTATATCACAGGTGATGATAAATGTTTGTTACAGCTGAGTCTGACAGATGAGTGGTTCAGCACGGACGGAGGCTCGGCTCTGTTGACCTCAGGTAAAGAGATGTGTGCTGGGACGAGACAAGCAGCACAGGAGCTACTGAACCACTACGTACACATGCAGGGTCTGGCTATATCACACGTGATGATAAATGTTTGTTACAGCTGAGTCTGACAGATGAGTGGTTCAGCACGGACGGAGGCTCGGCTCTGTTGACCTCAGGTAAAGAGATGTGTGCTGGGACGAGACAAGCAGCACAGGAGCTACTCAACCACTATGTACACATGCAGGGTCTCGCTATATCACAGGTGATGATAAATGTTTGTTACAGCTGAGTCTGACAGATGAGTGGTTCAGCACTGACGGAGGCTCGGCTCTGCTGACCTCAGGTAAAGAGATGTGTGCTGGGACGAGACAAGCAGCACAGGAGCTACTCAACCACTACGTACATATGCAGGGTCTGGCTATATCACAGGTAAGGCTAACACACAAGGAGTCAATGAGCCAGTTATATCTGTAGGATCAGAGGTGCCCATCCCCCCCAAACCCAGAGGCGCAATCCCCCCCCCCCCAAGCCAAGGGAGTAGTTCCCCCCAATTTATGCTGCCGTCTATTTAAACCTACCCTCCCCCACAAATTTATCTGACAAAATTCCCTTTACCTCATAAAACGAGCATTTCAAGTATTTAGTATCATAATTGTTTAGTAGTAAAAACGAATCTGGTTTTTGTTTGTATTTGTATTCTAAATAATCAAACTTGAGGTAAAGAAAAACAAACTTGCTGATAATCAAAATTAAATGTTTAATAGGAAACGTTAACAACATTTAACAATACATTATTATATCTAACTAATGGACGAATTAGAATTTTTTCAATTTATAATTCAGAATCTGTAATGTCAGTCAACATGTGCGCAGTGTTGCAATAGACAACGTCTTCAAAACGTACAACAATATACTCGGTGAATTACTCTACTCCAACACAGTACTGTAAACTGTAACATATTAGGTGGCTTTAATTTTTACAGAGTTTAAGAATTCACTTTGAACTCAACAGCTTTAAGTGCATTAATAATACATTGGCAAAAAGTATCTTGTTTCAAAATTATAGGCAGAGTCACGAAATAAGACAGACTTGTTGCTCGCAACTCCCAGGCTGCCTTCTACAAAAATCGCCGGGCAAAATACCCACAATACCTTAATTGCCACCAGTACAAAAGGTTTTTGTGACGAAGTAATTTACTATTCATTTTGATAGCCCCAGGATTGCCTTCTATGACTAATAATAATAATGATAGAAACGCATCTTGTCAGATAATCCGTTTGTACACAAAACACGAAACGATAACATATAGGTCTATCAATTCACGCGTGTATATTGCCGTGGGCAGGACTGGAAGTAAACTGAATCATGTTATGACGGAAAGACGTGGTCTCTGGATTGTCGTCTGTGTTATCAAAAGCTGATATTGCACTAGTTGTAGTGACGGAGGGGAGTGTTGAAAATATAATGGTATTCATAATTGAGTTTTCCATTCTAAATGATTGACAATAACAACTAATTTATATGCTGGATATAAATGATGGTCTCGAAATTCTACAGTACTGCGCGTAAAGAAATGTATTAAATACTTTGAGGAGTTTGAAATACCGTATACAAACACATAAAACTAGAGACAGAAAAACATTTTTGAGTGTAAACACTCAATTAATTATGAATCCCATTAAATTTTCAACACTCTTCTCAGTCACTACAATAGTGCAATATCAGCTGTTGAAAACGCAGACGACTCGACAATCCAGAGACCGCGTCGGTCCGTCATAACCTGAACCTGATTCAGTTTACTTCCAGTCCTGACGACGGCAATGTACTCGTGTGAATTGATAGGCCTATCTGTAATCGTTTCCTGTTTTGTGTTAAATGTTTGTAACGTATTCTGACGACACCTCCAGAAGTGGATCTTTTGTAAATCCTAACGATGGTGGAGTTAAAGAACCACCAAAACAAGTAAAATTTGTGGTTAAAAGGTGCGTTTTTACCATTCTTAGAAGCAATCTTAATTATAAATGGTAAAATGTTGTTGGTGTTGATAGTGAGCTACTTAGAAACACTTTTTCGGGCTGCTTATACAAAAATTATACATTCATTATGACAGCTGGCACAAAAATATCCCCCCCAAAATCCCCTAAAATAGCCCCCCCCCCAAAAAAAATTTCTACCCCCCCTCTGGGCACCCCTGTGTAGGATGGTGTTTGATTACAAAAAATGAGTCAAGGTGGGTTTACTAAGGGATTAGGATCTTATTAAAACGTTCCTTGCTGCTGGGTCAGTACTGACCCACGGCACAACCCTCACGTGGCCGGGTCAGTGCTGACCCAAAACCCACACTGCAGTTCATCAATCTGTTGCTCAGTGTGTGCCTAGTGTTGGTCGAAGGCGGACCTATACCACGATAGTGTGTAGTGTGACATGTTTTTGTTGTGATTTGGTAGTAGCTTTTTCCGTCAAATCCTCGTCTGGCAAGCTTAGATATCAACTTGTTGTCCCGTCTTTCTCCCTCCTATTGGCAATACAATGGGACCGGCTACGTTCCAAGCAAGGCTGCTATCCTGGGTGTTTTAGCGAACTACATTGACTCTCGTCGTAACACAGAGAAAGACCACTACACGTTATTTGCTATTTGTCAGATCGAAATTTGAAAGCCAATCGCCCGGCAATCGGGTTCGTTTGACGCTGTGCCGCACCGGTTATACGCCGCCATTGATGGGCCGTCCAGCAAACGTGTTAAGTGTTAAATTTGAAGACATAAAATTAGTTGTCCATTGATTGTCCTTTAAATGTGTTCTTGTGATACAGGATATTTAAAGACCCTCAAATAATCCAAGTCAGTATGTAGACCTAGTAGAAAGCGAACTAATAATTTTATTTCTAAATTATTGCTACTCTGTGTTTTTAATAAGTATACCTATGTCATACATACTGTATGTTGTCCAACAGTCAGCTTAAGTTCTCATATTATGATATTATCCTCTTTGTTTTAGGTTCTTGTAGAGTCTGAAAACCTAAAATGTTATGATAGCCTCCTAATAAACTACCATCCTATTTGCTAAGCTTCACTTTATTCCTAAATATATATGCCAATCAGTATACCGTATTTGTTAAGTACACTGTTGTAAGGTAACGATTTGTTGACAGATGTTGCGTAAGTCAGTGGAGACTAGAGATTGGCTGCACAGTCTGGAGCCTCGTACAGTACGAGCCGTCATGAAAAGGATCATGGAGGAAATGGCGACCATCGACTCCCAGGTGGGTCGCAAACAAAGCGAGATAATCTGATAATCATCACATGCATTACTATAATAGGTTTACTCTTGAACGTTACTATTTGGTATTTTTTTATCAATGTTTGTTATAGGTTATATCTATTTCATAATGTCAACATGACAAGTCCATATATTTGACCAAAATAAAGCCAAAAAACCTGTCATACTCCTCTAGGATAGTGTAAGGAAGCAAAACAGGCGTTGTGTGTAATCCCTATAAAACCTAATACTAATGCCGTCAACTTCCACCTAAGCCAGACACCTTTTATTTAAGGTGGGCCCACCCACCGGTTAACTTTAGGAATCAACACTCGTCAGTGCAATGTGTTAGTCAATTCTGCCACCGAATGACACATTTGATAGGACAGATTAAATGTCCTGAATGTGACTAATGATTCATTTTCTATTGATTAATTACCTTACTCCATCCACTGCTGTGCCCGGCCAAAACATCTGTTTCTTTTTGCATACAGTTAGATATTAAAATTTTTGTCAATTTTCTTACTACTATGTTGTTATTCTGTGGAGTGAGCTGGTCTGGTAAATCGCAGGGCTTCAATCCTAGAGGACCCGAATTAAAACCCCACCATTTGCTATGTAAGAGTGGCACATTTCTCAAGGCCCTTGATGTGCAAGACGATTTTGGACTAGACCTTCGGGTCCTAGGATGTGAAGGTAGGACTTAATACAAATAACTGTTTTATCCACAGGTAGGCATGTTGTTTGAGGAGGGATCGCACACAGAGCGTAGCTCCGACTCATCACACAAGACTCACTCTCGTCTTCATCGCAGCACAGCCAGTAACTGGTCGAGTCACTCTCTAGCAGCCAGCCATATACACAAGTTGTTCTCTGAGCGGATCGAGATCTTTGCCCCTGTTCAGTTTAACAAAGTTTCTATTTTAACTGGAGTGATCAAGATCAGCCTAAAGGTAATGTTTAGAGAATGGTGTTCATAGATTCTTACTTACTTACTGCTGTGGCCACTGGTACCCTAGATGGTACTTGGTGTTCATAGATAGAAAAATAATACCCCCGCCGCAGCAAACCTGCCGTCTAAGCGAATTTCCATTTGGCCGAATTGATTTTCAATTGATCTATTTAAATAACATTATTAGGTTTAACGAGTACCTAGATTTGCTGCTACAAGGAAACTAATAAAGTAGTGTGTTTTTAGTAAAATATTGATAGCTTACTATAAAATAAATAAATTTGCCAAGTTTGATCAAAATATATCCATAAACAAGCAAACTACAACATTTTACAATATTCTCCATAAGAATAACATGGGAATTTTAAATTTACCATTTTTTTAGTTTTCTCCGTAACCAATAACCGTACAAAAACACTTTTATATACTGAATTGTTTGTTTTTTTAAGCTCTTTAAGAAGGTTTAGAGAAAAATTGGGAAATTTTGTGTTTTGAGGGTAAGAAGTGAGAAAAACCAATTTTTACCCCATAAAACCCCCCATAAAACCCTGTTCCCATGGTCCGATCATGCTGGATCGCGAACTCATTCAAGTTTATCCCGCCTTACACCTTCAAACCAAATTTCATCAAAATCGGATACAAATTACTCAAGTTATCGTGTTCACGGACACATATATATATATATAAATCTATATATATATATATATATACATATATAAAAATTTGAACGAATGGTGTTTTTGGCCTCTGGGGACATTAAAATGAAAAAGTAAATCGGTCCCGGGCCTAAGTCTTACCATGAGACCTACGGTAATAGCTACTTCCCTATAGGGAAATTCGCTAAAACTCACCATCTTAAATTCTCGACATTGGCAGTTTATTAAGCTTGCTATCATGGAATTATGCTACGATATTTTCATTTTTGTCTGAGAAAATATTTTTGTTATCTCTACTTAAAAGATTATCTACATGGTCCACTGACTGCTTTTAGTAAGACAAAAATTATATATTCTATGTGTTTGCGCAATAGAGAAAGAAATTATGAGATATTACAACCGTTGCTATTGTAGCCGAACTACTTTTCCCTAAACCACTTCTTATTCTTGTCCTAAACAAACATTATCTTTATTTAAATTTAATTTGTAAATTAAACTTACTGGATTGTGCAGATTCTAATAAGCATTGGTCAATACAGTTTTTTAATAACAGCTAATTGGATGTGTAGACAGTGGACACAATTAAGAAATTTAGAATAATGCTCTTATTTGAAAACTATAAAATAATATATATATTTTTTTTAAACACTATTAAACCATTTTGCTATCTTATATTTACAGACTCTACTAGAGTGTATTCGTCTCAAGACATTCTCCAAGTATGGTCTTCAACAGATCCAAGTGGATTCTCACTACTTGCAGCTCTATCTTTGGAGATACGTGGCGGACGAGAAGTAAGTTTTTTTACAATTTTACGTGTCCCACCTTCATATCCTAGGATGTGGGCTCTAGCCTGGATTTGTTTTATTTTTTCCCTTGTGGGGTTGGGGTAATTGCTATATAGTTTTATACATTACTTCAAGCTAGGCTTACAAGGTTTTGGCATTAGCACTTAGATAAAATACCTTGGTGATTGGCAGGATTTGAACCTGAATCCTCGGAGAATAGTAATCTAATGAATGATTCTGTTGCAGCCTTATTCAGTTCCTACTTGATGAGATTCTCAGCAGTGCTGTTCACCGATGTTTAGACCCTGTATTGATGGAGCCAAGCGTGGTAGACATTATTTGTGAGAGAGGTTAGAAAGCAGTTCTGAAATCTCTCTAGGGGTAATGCAATGTAAAAAGTATTAAGATTAAGAGTGTTTTCTTTGTTGATTTTTACTAGGGATGGACGGGTCCCGAAATTTCGGGAATTTTTCGGGAAAAAAATATTCCCGATTATCGGGACGGGATTACATTTGACTCGGGAATTTTTCGGGACGGGATTTGGTCCGATCGTCGGCAATTTTTCCGCTTCGCGAGTGCCGATAACGCCGTTATTGCGAGCGATAGGTCCGCGAACGCAGGAGACGAAGTCATACCGACGATCGCGCCGTGACCGCGGAGTCCTACGGACGATCGCGCCGTGACCGCGAGTCATACCGACGATCGCGCCGTGACCGCGAGTCATGACGACGATCGCGCCGTGACCGCGGAGTTATACCGACGATCGCGCCATGACCGCGAGGTCCTACCGACGATCGCGCCGTGACCGCGAGTCATGACGACGATCGCGTCGTGACCGCGAGTCATACCGACGATCGCGCCGTGATCGCGAGTCATGACGACGATCTCGCCGTGACCGTGAGTCATACAGACGATAACCCCGTGACCCGCGAGTCACAAGTTACTATAGGTACCTGGAAATTGTTACCCATTTTTTGGTTTTTATAGATCAGTGCCACAAATGGTAAAAATTGATTTCATATGTCTTTTTTTGGTAACTGCAATACAGTACTTTCTTTTTATGCACGGAAAAAAATCCCGTCCCGTCCCGAAAATCGGGAAGGAAATAAAAATCCCGTCCCGTCCCGTCCCGAACTAAAAATTCAATCCCGTCCATCCCTAATTTTTACTATTCACATTCTGTATATTTGTTATATTATGCAATATTTGTTACATTTTAATCGTATTATACCGGGTGTCCGAAAAATAACTCCCTAGTTTTGATAAACGATTGTTTATTGTAGAGAATACATATTCTTATATCTAATACATGAAATTAAAGAGGGTTTACTCAAGTTTATTTTGACATTAGTACACCTCGATGTGTGACCCATTTGTAGCTCTACAGATATCTAACCGGTATTCGATCTCTCTCCAAGTGTTAGTTAACATATCAGGTGTCACTGATTCTACTGCAGCTACGATTCTTTGACGAAGATGGTCAATGTCACGTATCTTTTCTGAATAAACCAATTTCTTAACGTAACCCCACAGGAAAAAATCCAGTGGTGTTATGTCTGGGCTTCTTGGAGGCCACGCTATCGGGCCAGCTCTCCCCATCCATCTTGCCGGGAAACCGAAAGGGCCTCCAAGAAGCCCAGACATAACACCACTGGATTTTTTCATGTGGGGTTACGTTAAGAACTTGGTTTATTCAGAAAAGATACGTGACATTGACCATCTTCGTCAAAGAATCGTAGCTGCAGTAGAATCAGTGACACCAGATATGTTAACTAACACTTGGAGAGAGATCGATTACCGGTTAGATATCTGTAGAGCTACAAATGGGTCACATATCGAGGTGTACTAATGTCAAAATAAACTTGAGTAAACCCTCTTTAATTTCATGTATTAGATATAAGAATATGTATTCTCTACAATAAACAATCGTTTATCAAAACTAGGGAGTTATTTTTCGGACACCCGTTATTTATTTTATTACACAAATAAACAATTACAAAGAGAGCATGAATGATCTAACATGGCAGATTCAAAATCCGACTATAACTAATCACTTATTGCTATGATAACATTTCAATCTAGTGGTTCAAACAAAACCCACCTGAAGCTGCAAGTCAACCCATTAAGAAATAAAAAAAGTATATTAATTTCAGGTGAAGTGAACTTTTTTTGTTTGCCATGCAAACTCTCTTCAAAAACCACAATAACAATTCAGAGTTGGGATAACAAGTTTTCAACTTTTCATAGCCCTTAAAACGGATCTTGTTCAGTTTTCATTCAATCTTAAAAGTCAACCATTCAACCAATTCAGTAACCAAAACAACCATAATACTGTGACACAATAAACACATGACTTTGCTTACTATTGGTTTCTTTTCAGTTTAACCATCACTTATAATTAAACTTATAAACGTCTATGAAGTCAGTAAAAAATATGAATGTCATCTTAAAGTGGTCAAGGTTATACGACAAATATTAGATAATAAATGTAATACATTTCCATTCCAATATGCAATTTACTTTAATCAGTTGCTAGTTCAATGGTTTATTTATAGTGCAAAGAAGGTTTTTTTGAACTACAATGCGCAATACCTTGAGTTCTAGGTTAGCGTTTCACAGTATTTTTGTATTTCTATGTACTGTAAGTGGAATATTAATTGTTTGCTACTAATTTGTAATACAGTGTCTGTTGAATATAGTGAAAGGCAATATAGTAAATTAAAAGTGGTTAGTTATCAAAGCTTATTAAGTTTATTTGATCGAATGTAAATAAATATATTATAAGAAATCTAAAAAATTTTTGATTTATTCTCCCTGTTCTCCTAAATTTGTGGTTTGTTTGTTTCTACTACTGTAATAGCCAAGTTTAATAAATGAACTTAAAAAGTAGGATTGTCAGTAAAATGTTAAAGCTGTGTTGAGGAGAGCAATCTCTTTATTGACTTTGATACAAACGTTTTTACATCTTCAAGCAGTAACGGTAACAAATAAACTTATCAATGTAGGAATGTTTCTGAAGAAACAGATTTCATAATTTATGAAGTGAACTGAAAAGTGGAGTTCATAATTTTTGTCTTTAATAAAATGTAATATACAATGAATATAGATTTAGTTCTACAGCACATGAATTTTGACAGATTTTTGGGTTTGGGTTTAGAAAAGCAATAGGTTAGCCACTATCCGAGAAACCACATTTTTCCAATAAAACTTGATAGATACAAAAGTTTCGTATGTTTGAGAAAAATGATAAGAAAAGAGTAGTAAACAATAAATAGTGCCAATCTTTTCCAAAATGTTTGAATGTCATTGTCTCATGCATAAACAAATGAATGAATATTTTGAAAATAACAATTTATTGACAAATTCACACTTTGGATTTCGAGAGGGTAAATCAACAACTGCAGCTGTCTTAGAAGTAATTAAAAAAATCTTTAAATGCATTTGAAAATAAAACTGTTTCATTAACTTTATTTGATCTTACAAAACCTTTTGATTCTGTACCTTTTGATATTTTATTCAAAAAACTAGAATTTTATGGTATTACAGGTGAAACTTAAATAATTTTAAAATCCTATTTAACCAATAGAAAGCAGTATGTATCTGTTGGAGGCAGTCAGTCTAACTTAAGATTGGTTGAAGTAGGTGTTCCACAGGGCTCGGTTTTGGGACCCTTCTTGTTTTTAATCTCAATAAATGACCTGCCGAGGAATGTTGATGTAGACATTGTTGTATATGCTGATGACACAACTTTGGATGCAACAAATAGAGATATCCATGAGCTTGATTTAATTACTAATGAATCAATAACATCAGCATTAAATTGGTTTTCTTCAAATAAATTGACGTGTAATCAAGAAAAAACACAGAAAATTCTTTTGAGTCAATCCCCACTTGACAATGAATTAAAATCTGTAAAGTTATTAGGATTCCAAATTTATTCAAAATTAAATTGGCAAGAGCACATAGAAATCACTTGTAAAAAAATCTCCAGAGTAAATTATCTAATTTGGAAACTCAGAGATTTTGTTAGTAATGAATACCATCGGATTACTTATTTTGTTTTTTTTTCAATCTCATATTTCTTACGGGATTATATTCTGGGGACACTCCCCCCACACCCATGAAATTCTTTTATGAAAAAAAAGTCATACGAAAAATCTGTGGGGCTGGCCCTATGGATAGCTGTCGACTTCTTTTTATAAACCTTAGAATTATGACCGTAGTAAATTTGTATATTTTTCACATACTCTTCTACACTAAAGCCAATCTTCATCAATTCACTTGTAGAGAGAGTATACACTCTTAAAATACAAGAGGCAAATCCAATCTAGATATCCCTGCCCATAGATTGGCCAAAACAGTAACTGCCATTAAATAATTTGCATACGGTTTTTTAATAAATTAGGTCTGGCAGCAAAACCTTCCTAATAATAGGTTCCTTTTAATAGGTTTGAGTCTAAAATGTTTGAGTGGCTCATCCAAAATCCATATTACTGTATAACAGAGTACTTAGTTTCTGATGTTAATATTAATTTTTAATTTAGAACTCACTGTATTTTATAGCTTTAGTTTTTATTTCTATTGTTGACTATGTCTATTCCTTGTAAAAGGTCAATGCCAATAAAGATCTTGATTCTTAAACCACCATAATGACTGCTAAACTGGCTTTCACTACTCTGGATGTAATCCTAGTTAAAAAGGACGGTTGATAGAAAATAATACTGTACACTGAAAACAGAAGCATACAATTCATGATTATTGGACAACAATAGCTACAATATGTGCTCTCTATGTCCAAAATCTTGGATCTGAACATTTTTTATTTTATTTAATACATTACAGTCATTTTATTACATAAATGCATACAATTTTGTCAGTGACAAAATATAACTTTGGTAACAATACAATACATTATACAAAAAAGAGTACTGTAACTGTGTAAAAGAGGTGCCTTGATAGTTGATGTTGATACCAATAATTTTCTACAAACATACAAAGCGGTTTTTACCACAAAATACTGAAATTCAAGTTTTTAATTCCATTATCTTATGCAAACTCTTTTGTACACTTAACTGAATATTATACTGAACATTATGAGGCATTAACACCTAATTGAATATTATACTGATATATTATGGAGTATTAAAGATCAATATGAAAGCATTATGTTGTTAAGGCACACCTTGTTTACAGTTATATAAAGAGGACTGAAGCAACACATTATGTTTGTAAAGTCTCTTTTGGAATGCCTTCTTCTGTTGCGCCAGTGTCAATCTGGAACAAAAAAAACCATAAATGTAAGTCAAATAACATTAACACTTTTTTTGTAGTGATGAGTGTCAGACACAATGTCTTTCCTCTACTACATAATAATAGTTGATAAATGTATAATCCATAAACGGTCTACTTGAATCATTTTCATTTAGGTTGAATATTATTTCAATTAATTACAAATTTATTTTAGTTAAAAATAACTTCACAAACACTAATATGCAGTTGAACCTTACAAATTTGTTGATAAAAGACTCTAGATGCATTGACTCTTCCTACAGCTTAGATTAAGCCTTAACAATATGTTTGTATACCTTAACAAGCTTCTCCGCAGTGAGTGTGTTCGTACAAGCCCTCAAAACAACCTTGGGATAATTGTCTGCGTTGATGACTCTGACTCTAGGATTCTTCATCCGAAGATAAGCTTGCAACATTCTGTGAAGAGGCAAAGTACTAATAATTTTACGATGCCTGTTCATACACCGGTAGTTAGATTCTAGTATTCAACTGAATTTGAAGTTGACCTGTCCAAATTACACAACAAAGCCCTAAATCTGAAAATGGTTATCTAAAGTTTGTAAAACAGGAAAAAAACTTTTGGATAAAAAAATGTTCTGTGGAGAACAGTACTTATAGCACAAACCTTTTAAGTTGAAACGATTATTTAATTTATTTTAATAGGTCAAGTACCTATTTAACTAGCTACAATAACGATTTTACTGTTTACCATAATTCAGATACAACATTGTGTTTTATTATCAATACATAGTGGCAGGAACATAAAGCTATATATTTTAACCCAAAAATGAGTGATTGATAAGTATAGAATGGAGCGAGATGAGTCCAACCACCAAAAAGCTACTGACTTTTTCAAGATCAAATAGTATTTTAACTCCATAGCAAAAAATTAAGACAATAATCTATTCTTGTCCTTTACTCCTTAGCTTCGTTTAGCTGAATCTATTGATAGGAAACATTCTTGTTGAGCCTTAAGTATTTTTTAAATTTCAAATATTTTAATTTTTTATGACCCAAAAGAGTTTTTACTTAATTAAGACTAAGTAAAAACAGTATAGTTAACTAAAGTGAAATGTAAATGATAGTAAATTCCAACTAGCCTATCGGCGGCAAATATCCAAAACCACCACTGCTTAAACTTAACATAAATAATGGTTACTCTGAACTTTGATCATTTAAAGTTAAAGGAAAATAAATTACAATTTTTGTAACCAACATAGTGTAATTACATTAACACATTATTTACAAAGTAACATTTCATTTAAACATTTCACAACTTAAAGCTTCAAAAGGTCAAAGTGGTAGAATAATGTTCTAAGTAGGCCATAAGTCGAATCATCGTTGTACGAAAGTAGTCATTGTTGTAAAATATCACACTAGGATTTTTCATTCGTAGGAACGTAAGCTTCAATCTGCAACAAAAATATGTAAATGTTAGATTAATAATAATAATTAAAATTCACCTCTTATTCATTAAGTTTTAAGACAGCGATGCCATACTAAACATACTCTTTAATTCCACCTCTTCTCTTTTTAGTCCCCTGGGGGACTTTGTCAAGTGTTTCTCTACATTTCCTATTTCTCTACAGGGGACGATCTTCAAGGTTAGATAGCTGCTATCCTCTTACTCTACCTTTCAAAATCCTGGCCTAGAACCATTCATTGAACAAAACATACTTTTTAATTTATAATATTTATGAAGCTGAAAACAATTTTGATATTAGTTTCGTCCTTCATGTAGATTACTTGTTTTTGTTTCCTATTTGATTCTTGTTATTTCACTTGTTTCATAACTAGTTTTACCAAACAAAACAATCTTATTACAAACAATAGTTCGTTCTCCAGTTTTATGTCAAAACAGCAAAGTGCAAATAAAAAAATACCCCCGCCGCAGCAAACCTGCAGACTAAGCGAATTTCCATTTGACTGATTGGATTTACACTGAAATGTCTACTTAAAAATATAACATTTACTCTCTATTTAAATAGAATTAGTTTAACTAGTACTTAGGTTTGCTGCATCAGGGAGGGTAAAACTGTTTTTTTTTGTAAAACGTTAATAGTTAGTCAGAAATAAAAACATTTTCCAAATTTGATCAAAATATGTTCATAAACAAGCAAACTACAACAATTTACTTATTCTCCATAAGAATAACATAGAAATTTTAAATTTACAATTTTTTGGAATTTTCTCCGTAACCATTAGGCGCATAATAACGCTTAAATATACTAAATTATTTGTTTTTTTAAGCTCTACAAAATGGTTTGGAAAGAAATTGCTAAATTTTATGTTTTTTGGGTCAAAAATGGGAAAACCCTATTTTTACCCCATAAAACCCCCCGTAAAACCCCGTTCCCATGGTCCGATCATGCTGGATCGCGAACTCGTTCGAATAAACGTAGGTTTACACGTTTGTACCAAATTTCATCAAAATCGGATCATTTTTGCTCGAGTTATCGTGCTAACGGACACATATATATATATATCTATATATATAAAAGGCAAAGCCCTCACTGACTGACTCACTCACTCACTCATCACTAATTCTCCCACTTCCCATTTACCTAGGAGGCTGAAATTTGGTACACTGATTCTTTAGGCATTAAATAGGAAAACTAAGTGGTTTTTATTCTGATCGGACTCTCGGGCTCCGCCCCAGTGGCTCTGGAATTTCCCATGTTAATCTTATGAGTACTTATATTTAAATGGAATTAATGAATCTTAAAAGCTGTTTCAATTAAACAAGTTGGTTCTGTTCTATGATGTTCAATACCATTAAAGTTACAAGGATTACCAACAGGGTGCATCACCATTATTTCTTTTACATTTATGACAACAGCTAATTTGTAACCAAAAGGTGAGTGAGCGTAGCGAACGAACTTCAACCTGAAGGCAAGTGAGCGCAGCGAACGAGCTCCAACCTAAAGATGAGTGAGCGTAGCGAACGAGCTCCAACCTAAAGGTGAGTGAGCGTAGCGAACGAACTTCAACCAGGACATGATTGAGCCATGCGAACGAGATCATCTTGAAAATTAAGAAGTGAAACGGGGCAAAGCCCGCGGGTTACAGCTAGTAAATATATAAATATATAAATATATATATATATATATATGAATTTGAACGGATGGTGTTTTTGGTCTCTAGGGACCTCAAAATGAAAAAAAAAATCGGTCCCGCGTCCAGGTCTTACCATGAGTACTACGGTAATAGCTTATTCCCTATATGGGAAATTCGCTAAAATTACTCTAAACTAAGAGAAAGAGAAAACCTATTTGTCAACACTAGAGCTCAACACAAACAACATGATACATACATAGAAACAGGTGTACTGTGACCATCAATGTTCGTGCAATTCCTAACTTGTGCCTAGGTACGCCATGCATTGTGCAATATGTTTTATTAATTACTTTATTAATAGTAAAATGAAACCTTTCTAATTTTTAACTAATCTCACACAAGTTTATTTATATTGGAAAGTAGGAATAGATAACTCACTCGACTAAGAATGAAGTTTTATGGACTTAATAGCAGACACGTTCACAACACAATAAGTCAATAATATTGATATATCATCACCTTTTTTCGGTTCTTCTTCTGTGGAGGGTAGTAAAATAGTATATAGGAAGTAGGTAGTAGTAAACTGTCAGTAACATATCAAGTTGTTGTATTGTGGCTGCTTTATGTGATAACAACTGCCATGAACTCATTTTTTAGGCGAGTAAGTTACCAGTTCATTCTTTCTTTGCATATTCTAAGCAAAAGCTTTTTCCTCTAAAAACACTTAAATGTAAAAAACCCTTTAATGTTCCCATCTGTTTCTAGAACATGAATTAATCATCGATCTCCATTCAATTCCATACATCCTCAACACAATTACATATGAAATGTGAATACCTACTTCTGGTAACATGATCTGGTAGTTCTCTTCAAGGATTTTCTTGATTTCACCAAGCACTTCTTCAACAGTAACATCCGAATCAAGAGCAATCTGTGATGGATTGCGCATACATGCATATGCTTGAGCCAAGCTGAACATAGAACATTAATTATGGAAATGAAAGCTGTGTCGGTAAGCCCATAACTTTTTCAGAAAACATATGCCATAAGGCCTTCATAAAGGACTACCTTGTCCTGTTTTTTTTATTTTAAAACTCCCAGAATTCTTCAATTCCTCGATTTCGAGACCAACATACATGCATGCAACATTCAAAAAGACTGGTTGGTGATTGATTTTTTTCATATGAAAATAACACTCGTGATTCCCTATACGATAGCAATAACAATAACCCATATGAACAGAATCCCAACACTTGACTGTAGTATTCCAGGCTTGTCTCTGATGTTGTAGCCCACATTGGCATTATATGACAATGCAATATATATATTTTGGGTATGTGGCAAGGGAACTGTCAAAACGCCCTGTTCTTGTTACTATGTAACAACTGTCTATACTATTTTATTAACCATGTAACAACCCAAACACATTGATTGTAAGGATTTTTGTTAGGACATCAGGATTTATCTAGGTGAGGTGGGATAGAGTACATCCTGGCACAAAATCAGGAAAGCTTTACACTACACATTATGTTTAGAATATTCCACTGTCACTGACAGCATTTTCAAGCAGGGGAGGTTTTGAGGCCTACCTAGTCTAGTTGAAAGAATTAAGGAACAATCAAGTTTTTATGGTGGTTTTTTCCCAAATCTAACTGTTCTTAATTTAAATACTGTATTATAAGTTGTGTTTAGTTCAAAGTTTTTGTGTTTTTTTGTGCTGGGATAAACTCTCTCTCATCCAGGCACTATCCAAAACCTTGCAATCGAAAACATCAGTTAACCGAAAGGCTGATGGCCAGTGTTGCTGTGGTTGAAAGAGACAATAACTAGTATCGCCAAGCCTGCAAGATATGCTCATGGGTGTTACCACGATTGCAGGAGACTCTTACTGCCGAGACACAAAGATATATGCTCACAGATGTTGCTACGATTGCGGTAGACCATTACCAGTGTAGTCAAGACTGCAAAATACGCTCACAGGTGTGGCTGCAATTGCAACATTCACTGTTCCGGTTATTTCATTATTGTTATTTCGGAGGAATCAGTTAGCCTATCTAAACCCCCAATCCCAATTGTTTCTGATAATCAATTCTCTACTGTAATTCAAGAGAAAAATATTTTAGCCTCAGAATCATAAGTGTTTATTTTATCTTAGGCAACTATTGGTTATAAATCGTTGCATCTTAAAATAGCGGTCGCTTAACAGAAAAATTGGAATCACTCGATACTACCAAGGGTATTTTACACCTTTTATTTACCTTAAACGCTATAAAAATTCAGCCTTAATCCAATATTTGACCAAACCCTGCAAAATAAATCCAACTTACGCCTCTCTTAGTTCCTTGTTGTCTTTCATTCTCAGTTCCTCCCGAGTGACACTCTTATTCTTCCTCCTCATGAGTCGGTCGAGTCGCTTGCTCTCGCTGACGGAGAGGAAGAAGACAATGTCGGGTTTGAGAAGGTCGTGAGGCCACTCGTAAACCTCATCGTTCTCTGCCGGCAGAGTGCCGTTGTAATCTTCCACTGCCTGTTGTGCAATGGCGTACGCCGCGGTACTATGCCAGAACCTAAAACATGTAAATATGGTTACAATCTACGACAAGGTGTCAAAATTATTAAAATTTTAAGTTTTTTTACCATACTACTTTTATCCCGAAATTAAATACCACAGTTTTTAGGGAAATGCCCTCGCTGAAAAACGCAGATGATAGAAAAAGTGCATGACATTACCTATTCCGCAGCTGCAAAAAACACAGCTAGGAAAACCTTTCTGTAAAAAAAAATATGGCCTTATTAATAAAAAACAAACAGAACTAAGAGGTTTTAAGCTTCTCAATAACTGGAAATTTACTTTACCTGTCCATGATGACTGGTTTGTCAATGTAGGCTTCTCTCACTTGCTGGGCCGCGAGATAGTTACCGAGGGCGTAGTAGGCCCGGCGCAGCTCTAGAGAATGGGCGTCAAACTTCTCCCTCAGCCCCAGTAGCGCAGGGGGTGGCGTACCCAGTTGCTGTCCACTGATCAAGCGAGTCAGTCGACCACTGATTGTGGTTTTACCTATAAGTAGTTAAAATTGGCTAAACTACAAACAAATAAATTCTTCCGCCAGCAATCGGAGATCCCCATGAATAAGAGAGTCTTAGAAATCCTGCTTTATTTGCCTTTGGTAAATATTTGTAGTTTAAAGTTCACATGGATCCAAATTATAAAGTTATAATAGATCAAAGAGCCTACTAGACTCAAATTTAGCACTATTCAACAAATACTCAATCCTCAATCAACTGCCTGGTCACAGTATTATCATTCATAGCTACAAGCCATTTGTGATTGGCGGGATTCGAACTTGAGTCTCAACAACACCACTAAAACAGAATCTCTTACGAGACCAGATACACTGATAGAAAAATCTTACCACAATAGTTTCATATCGGAGTAGCCCAGTTAAAACTTGTTAATGTGTTTTTAAACATTCGATCAAATAATAGACAGTGCGAGTGCATACTAATAATATTGTTTTAACCAAAGGTAAATCTATAGCAACTTGTTTAAAATAGTATTGGTTCACCTGATGCATCAATGCCTTCGAGAACAATGAAAACTTTACGTTTGGATCTATCTACTACTTCATTAGCTTTGGAATAGTTCTCATCAAAGATCTTCAGAAGCTCTTGTACTTCTGGCAGACTAAAATACTGCAAAAACAAAATGGCACAGATTAGTTTTTATTAGTATACCGGCAGGATGGATTTTGTTTATAAACACACACCTAAAATAAAATATATTCTTCAGTTTAATAGTGTTTTAACTTGAATAACATGGAGAGAAAATTTATCAAAACAAAATTTAAAAAAATGTTTAGCGAAGTTTTCATTTGGAGAAATAGCCTCTGGATCGTTATTATAATTTATTATCATCAATTTAATCAATCATTTATTTAATCATTTATTATGTTATTAATCATCATCGTCATAAATCAATTGGATCGTAAGGTAAGCCTTAGATTATAATAATGTTTAGCAAAGTGTTTACGCAGCAGTTTTATATTGACGAGTTAAAAGCTAGAAGTATGATTAGCCAATGTTTTATTGAGTATTAATTTTTCCTATATTAACACGTTCCCTACAGACCGTCACACTTCTCTGTAACTGAGGAATAAGTATAGTCGGTAGCTAATGTGAAGGACCAATATCCGCACTGTAGGCTACCTCATTACTATGAAGGCAATTTAAGCACTGTTTGTATCAATATAAAGTACCTTATTTTTTCCTGTGCTAAGTGTTTTGGCTACCCTACGTTTCAGGAAAGGAACTCACTCCTGATGTTTTAAGTGATTTCAATAATAATCTTTGTCTAATTTATCATCCTATCTAATACAAAGTTATTTTCAAATTGTGCCTGATGGAGGATATTTTGGAGGAAATTTTCAAACTGTACCTTATCACTATGAAGACATTTTTTCACAGCATCCAGAGATTTAAAAACTCCGACGAACTTCATCTCAGTGTCTCCAGAGTTGTCCTGTTTTGATGTCATGTCTGTAACATACGATATCTTGTATATAGTGTTTGCCCAGGAATAAGTTGCTAGTTTGATTCTGAGAAAAGCCAGTAAGCTTTTTGACTTAATCTTTGGGCTTAACTAGGCCTATTAAGAAATTGCTCTCTCCGCTAAAGTACAAGTTGACCAGTCTTAGTCAGTAAAAAGCTCAACACTCATTCTTCACCCAAAAATATGCTCCCTAATGTGTGTTGGTGTACAGAAAAATTAAATTACTCTTCCTAGACATTAAACTGTATATTAGCTTATAGGGGTTACAAAAAATGAGACTTCAATTATTTTAGTAATTGACAGTCCTATACAGTATTTGACTTAGCCTAAATTAAATCCCAGAGTAATTAAATAAAAACGTTCTATAAAATTAAACTAAAACACTTTATTTATTATTCAAATTGCCTCTATATAAGGTTGTAAACCACTGAAATAAAATCCTTAACATAAAAAACTAATTGTTTACATTTACAAATTAAATCTTTCAAAACCCTTTTTTAATGACCAAGAAATTTTAACCAAGACTTTACATGACCAATTGACAAATTTAACTTTTTACGCCAGAAAATAACATGGATATGAATATATTGCAGTAAATAATAAACATCAACAGGTTAGAAACACTGGTGGCGTCCAATGATCAATGATGTCCCAAGAGATGATTAAAGCAACGTGAGCATGCAGGGGGCTACACCGGGGGGTGAGGAGGGAGGTTTGACTTCCTAGGCCCCTGATGTAGCATCCATCATTGTCCTGTGATAGAGCATCAGTCTTAAACTCCTTACAATGTAGTTAGCTGTTAGCTCCCCCAGCAAACTAAAACTGTAGGCCACAATGAGAGCGCGACTCACAAACAGCTTACAATGATTGAGCACTAAATTGGATGGTAATACTTGAGATTTGGCTTAATATTTGGGTAATAATCCAGTGTAGGTATTTACTTATAACACAATTAATTTATTGAGTTGTATTTTTATATTAAAGTAATTTAGTTCAGTATTTATTTATCTTGTTCAACACTAAAATTCCATCTGTTACTTCTCAGACTGCTGCTCTAAGATGCTGAATATTGAAAATAAATTACCTATTTAATGTGTATTTAACCTAAATGAACCATACTTAGCGTACGGTAGCTCTAATGTTGTGTGTTTTTAGCGAATTTTTCATAAACACGATAACTTTAACTTGGTTAATTTTTGTTGTATTATGCCATTTGGCTTGAAGGTGTAGGGCAGGATAAACTTGAATGAGTTTGCAATACCAGCAAGATCGGGTCATAGGAACGAGGTACTAAAAAAGTTTTGACATTTTCAATTTTGCACTTTCAAAACATGAAAATGCCCAATTTGTATAACAGCCATTAAGTAGAAAGAAGCTAAAAAAAATAATTTTATATATTTAAGTGTACAATTAATTTGAGATAACAGAGAATATTCCTAAGAACTGAACAATTCCTGAGATATGTATTCTACTCTGCGACACTCCGCTGCTGTTTTCCAAACTAAGTTAGTCTTTTATTACCGTCTCTGTATCACCAACAACTCTTATCTATTAACTTCGACCTAAAAGATACGACATACCTGGTTGATAGATATGACATAACTGTAATGTCCTGGGCGATCAAGGCAAGATATGGGTATATAAATAAAATTACAGTTTTGTCTGTACATTGCTCAGAATCATACATTTTCAGGTTATTTATACATTAAAGAAGCCGAAACAAGTCTCATCTAAATTTATGTCTGTCTGTCTTTCTGTTGGTCTGTAACACTCAAGATGGCATTTTACGCAATCTTCTCCAGGAAAACAAGAGTACCTAGTTATCAAGATCCAAGTCATTTTAATGTATTCACTGGATTGACCGATTGGCGAGAGTGTCTTTAGCCATTAAAATGTGGCCTCACTACTTAGTAAATAAAATTACACACCCCGGATGTGACGTCGGGCGGTAAACTTAAGTCAATTCTTTGGCAACAGTTTTCCCTTAGGCTCTAAATTAGTGAGGAGCAACTTTGGTTTTTTCACAAAAACTCTTCCACTAGTTTCTCAAATTTGTTCGGAGCAACATTTAGTTGTAAACTTTTTGTTGTCAACTTTGGTCGGCTTTAATCTATTATGTTTCAGTCCCCAGGGTACGGTATCTAAGTTATTCTCAAAAGCAAACTAACTTACAGCTTTTGAGGGTAAGGAACACCTCTCTGACAACTAAAACTATTGTAGCCTATAGTTATTTTGATTATCTACCAAAATCACCCAAGACAACCCAAAATCTCACTCTATTAAACTTACCTCTACTTCTATATAGCCTAACCAAACCATACAAAATAATCCACCAAGAAGAGATAAGATTTGATTGTGAAATAATCGGCAACACAGTAAGTTAAGACAAACTATTAAACTAACAAATCACAAACCGGTACCCAAGTTTGTTTATGGTAGTTAGTTGCATCTGCTAAAAACTCAACTGAAAATTTGGTGATGTGATGTAGTGCATTGTCAGTTCTGTAATTTACAGCTTTTACTAATTTAAACCACTAACTTTAACTTAACTTACCATAACCACTGCATACATTCAACAACCATAAACTAGGCTATTATATTTTTTGAACCACAGACAGACCACACCACACCAAAACAAAGCAAGCACAGCAGACAAAAAACAAACAAAACAAACACTGGCGTCAAAAGAAAAAATTAAAGTTGGAGGACAGACTTTCAGCCTTAGTTGACAAGAAAAGTGCGTATATACGGTTGATCATAGTCTTGGAGGAGTTACATCGTTACGTACTATAACTAATTACGCTTCTAATACTATAAAATGAGCTTTAGAAAAGGTTTCCGGCATAAAATCAAGTATATAAAAACAATAAATTGTGGGTCTAACCACTGCCATCCTGGACTGATACCTTTTTACCTAACATTTTAAAATATTATGCCTACTGTCTAAGTATCTAGATAAAAAATGACTAGGCCTATCTATAACATCCAGCTGTCCTTGATAATCGAGCTTTTAATAAATGGACCTAACTAATGAAACAGCTAGTCTTAGTAAATAACAACGCTACACAATGAATCACACTCCCTACACTCATCCCTCCCTCACATTTTGGTTAAAATACCTAGGTGGAGTCATCATCTCAATTGATGATAATGATTATGATTACTAATATTATAAATGTGAAAGTTTGTGTGTTTGTTTGTTTCTTTGAATTTCAATCACGCATAAAACTACTAGACGGATTGGGCTGAAATTTCGCATGATGGTAGCTCACATTCCCGATTAACATATATGCGTATTCTTATCTCGAAAATCCTTTCGGGCTCCGCCCCAGTGGCTCTGTAGTTCCCCATGTTAACTTTATGAGTATTCATATTTAAAGGGAATTAAAGAATTTAGTCAGCTGTTTCAACTAAAAAAGTTGGTTCTATGATATGCAAAAGCATTAAATATTATAAGATTTACCAACAGGTGCAGCACTATAATTTATTTGTCATTTATGAAAACAGTGAATCTATATATTAATTTGAAACTGTTTTTCTTTGTCACAGCTATTTTGAGAGAACAGCTGGGCGTAGAAACTCGGTAGAGGTGTCTAAAGAAAGGTCTTGGTCTGTAGATGAGCCATCAAAAGAGAAACATGGTGAATTCCCTTGGGGTTCTGCCCCCGTGGCCTTTAAATTCCCATCCCATGTTATTCTTATGGAGGAAAACGGGGTTTTTGTCACAGCTACTTTGAGAGAACGGCTGGGCGTAGAAACTTGGTAGGGGTCTCTAAAGAAAGGTCTTGGTCTGTAGATGAGCCATCAAAAGAGGAAAGAGGTAAATTCCCTTGGGGCTCTGCCCCAGAGGCCTTTACAGTTGCCTCTTCAGATTTGTTTACATTACGACCATATGCATAATTCTAAACTACTTTTTAATGCAACAGCTGTTAATATTTAAATTGTGATTTATTGAATTTGTCAAAATGAAGTACAGTATTTGCAATGGATTTTTCTGATTTTAAAATTGATTTTCTTCTGCATCGTGTCATGTTTTGCAATATAATGTTCTATTAGGTACCAAATCAGTGGAAAATCCTAATATCACAGTAACTTTTAAAATGATTTCTTATGGAGTTAACTTATATCTATTGTATGGGTTGGTTTCTGCCTTTTTTACCACTTCTTGGAGATTTTACGTAGGTTATATTCTTTGGCATATTGCATTTGTAGACGAAACTTGGGTTGGTGTAATTATTACAATGGAAAAGAGCGAGAAATCCTGGACAATTTGATATAGGCTAAAAATAAAACTGAATTAACACTGTGCTACATTTCTTGAGCAATCATTGAAATAACCAATTTGCAAACAATGGAAACATAGAAAAAGTCATAGAACACAACCAAGTAGAAGAAATAGAAATAATGTTTTTTTTACACTAAAAACACTAAAAAAAACAAGATCAGCTTTTTGAAAAAAGATAAGATATTTACAAAAGATTTTGATTATATCTAACTGTTGTGTAGATCGTGAGTATTTCCATAATCTTTCAGTCGGATGTAATGCTTCGCAATTGCTCGAATTCGAGCAACAGGTACACTAGTCTATATATTAATTTGAAACTGTTTTTCTTTGTCATAGCTATTTTGAGAGAACGGCTGGGCGTAGGAACTCGGTAGGGGTGTCTAAAGAAAGGTCTTGATCTGTAGATGAGCCATCAAAAGAGAAACGTGGTAAATTCCCTCGGGGCTCTGCCCCAGTGGCCTTTAAAGTCCCATCCCATGTTATTCTTATGGAGGAAAACGGGGTTTTTGTCACAGCTAATTTGGGAGAACGGCTGGGTGTAGAAACTTGGTAGGGGTGTCTAAAGAAAGGTATTGGTCTGTAGGTGAGCCCTCAAAAGAGAAACGATGTAAATTTCCTTGGGGCTCTGCCCCAGAGGCCTTTAAAGTTCACTCTGCAAATTTGTTTACATTTCGACCATATGGATAATTTTACACTACTTTTAATGAACCAGCTGTAAATATTAAAATTGCATTCAAAGGTCTACTGAAACTGTCAAAATTAAATGTTTACATTATTATTTATGATTTTAAATTGATTCTCCACTGCATGGCAAGTTTTTTATAGTTTCAACAAAATGATGAATTTATGATACGTTTTAAATGTTTTGTTCAAAAATCTATGCTTTATTGCTCTTAGAAAATTTTAAATTATGAAATAAGTATGACATACCATTTTCAAAGGTACATATAATTATTCCTTATCGGGTTAGCTTATATATATTGTAAGGTTGGCACTTCCTTTTTTTTCTACTTTCAATCACCATTTATTTTTGAATTCAAGAAAGAACTCCAGAAATTCATTTATTGGTATGAAAGTTTTCGATAATCGGGTTGAAAATTGTGTCATAGATGAGTAACTTACGTTGAGGATGAGAGCTGTGTTCAAGTTTTGGAATAGACTAACTACGGAGTATATTTCATCTATGGTTTTGGTGAAGTAGGTGAACTAATGTCAATTCAGGTATTAAAAAAAAATGTGTAGGCCTACAGGGTTTTTACTTTGATGTACACATTAGCTAGGTCGAACAACGCATCTAAACCTCACTACATACAAAACATTCGGAAACACAACAGTGTCATCACATCTCATCGCATTTGCATAATTTCTTACCAAGACTGGACTAGGTTATGGATTTGGTTCCGCAAATGTTCAAGATTTGTGATCAAATTTCCTACAATGGTTCATTCCATCCACGAAAAACATGCAAAGCTTTATGTGGTCGATATGGCCAGGCAAAACTACCCCATAAGTTAATGAATTATCAAGTAAGAACAGGATGATTAAATACATGAGTCGATGTGGCAAGAGAAGGAATTAAAATTGCTTAGATCGAAGTAAGAATGTTACTGCTATCTGGAGAATCACATATTTTTATCAAATACAAAAAAAACTTATTTAAATGCTGATAAAATTCTGTATTTTTATGACCAAAGATGAAGATTTGCTTATAAATCTGGATACAATCTGAATGATTTTTCTAAAGCAGATTGAATTAGTTGTTAGTAATAAATATTGACTCTTTCCGTAACATGATAGACTAATAATATAAACTCATTCTCCCATATAGTGAAAGTGGCTTTGACATGAAACAAACTCATGAACAAACAATTATAAAGACTCCTAAAATACCTTTTGGGCAACCTAAAGCCGATAAAAAGGTAGGAAATATTGTGTTAAACGAATTCAACAATCACGTTTTTTTAGGGAAAACAATCGTCATACTTATTATTATGCTTATCCTCCCTTCACTTAACTAAGATTTTCATGACTTCACTCCATCTATCGCAGTTAGCTGAATTTACATAAAACCTCAAGATTAACCGTCGATTTCGACGGGGTTCCACTAGTCTATATAAATAAAATTAGAGTTTTGTCTGTACATTGCTTAGAATCATGCAGTTTTTGGTTATTTTTACGTTTCATTGCCTAAGAAAGCCGAAACGAGTCTTATGTCAATTTCTGTCTGTATGTCTGTTTGTCCATTCTGTGACTCTGTCTGTAACGCCAAAATGTCATTTTACGCGGCCTACTCCTAGAAAACTAGATTACCGATCAAGGTTCTAATCATTTTTCTGCATTTACTGGATTGGTGAGAGTGTCTTTGGCTATAAAAACATGGCCTCGCTTCTTTGAAAACAAAATAACGAACCATCAAAAACCCAATTTCGTTTGAGTTTTGTCAAATTTTCTCCCAATGTTTATATTACATTTTATGATACCGCAACCATTTCCGATCAAGTTTTGTTATAGTACATTAAAACCAAGTGAGATTAAAAACGTTGTGCCTTACTTAACCGGTTTAATTAATCGCAGGTGCAACGATTGTTCTTGAGTTTTGACAACCGGGGAAAATGCCGTGAATCAGTGTTGTATTAGTGCTGGGAAACCTACCTACATTTTTTAAATCATCGTCACCAAAATCTTACAAAAAGGTTTTCACTCTTTGACGGCGCTTCAAGGACAGTTGTGTAAAGTGCAAAGTAAAAAAATCACAAATGCAGTGGGTGATCGTGGATGTTGCTGAAATCTTGGAAGATCTATCTGATCGTAACAGAAGTTTAACTTACAGATGTAGCTAAACTCGCTTTTCCAATGTGTTACTTTTGGTTTCTACTTACATTTCGACAACGATAAGATTCCTGTACGTAGAACGGGCAAACAGCTAGTAACTAAGCAGCAACAAAAACCTGTGATATGCAATGAGAACTGTCAAAGTAGGATTGTTTACAGTTACGTTTATGTTTTGAATTTCATTAATAATTTTTGATATTTTGAGAATTTTTAATAATTTATTTTCCTCTATTGTTTAGGTGAAGTGGTGGAACATTATGGCTATGGTAGATGTGTAATACTATAGTATACCATAAATTTAAAGAAGCAAATTTTATCAAAATGTGTCTTCCCCCATTGCAAACGCAAAGCTTGAGTATAACATAACTTTAATAAGCATTTTATACTTTAGCCTATATGCCAACCCCGTACAAAGGACGGGTACTCTGCTAGTTGATGATAATGATGAAGATGAAATCTACCGATCCGATATGTCTTCAAATCAAATAAACTTTATTTGATGAACAGAAATATCTGCACAATAGCGTCAACTGCTCTTTAACTAAATAAAACATAACTTGATTTATAAGTCAATCCGATCGCTTGGATAGGTTATCCAATTAATTAAATAGAGTCACAGACATGTTAAGTCAAAGAGGAAAATGTAATTATTATTATACACTTAGCAATAGTGTTATGGCATTTTAAATTGTCATTGTTGTTTTTTTTTAGTCTTTTCTGTCAAATATATTTATATTTTTGTTTGTTATTGTTATTATAGGCCTATTGTAATATTTATCTTGTATCTGTTTTAATCTTTATTTTTCTCTCAAATTTTGTATGCATGTTAACTATGTACTTGAATACGTATGATCCAATCTTTGTCAGTGCATTTTTGGTACATTCCTGTTGATGTCATTTTTCATTTTGGGAATCTTTTTTATTGTCTAGCAGGATGAATCTCAATCTGACTTGTATATACTTATAAATAATTATCTTGTAACTTGCCACTCATGTATTTATTGATTGTAAAAATTGTGTTTACCGTATGAATGAATGAATAAATAAACAAAGCTAAATAACCAAACTGTCTGGGACCACGTGGTTATAGCGCTTAATATCAAATATGGAGGTCGTCCGTTCAATTACAAGCGAGGTCTATTTTGGATCCAGATGCCATTCGGCATTGGAGTACGGTGCCTACAAATTGGTCATGGAATCCAATAAGAGGGTAAATATTAATAAGACTAGGGGCTTACCGTTCTATTACAAAACACACATGCCAATTATGTGAAAATACAGAAAATAAACAAATATTATTTGTTCTAAACAAGCAAGGTTATAAGCTTTAATTGAGTTAAACTCAGTGGAAAACGTAGCCAGTTTTGAAGTGACATAACAGACTTCAGATTTCACAAATAGGTACAGTAAGAAAAATGCACATGCAGTAAGATCAATGAGCCTACTTACTACATTTTTGTTGAGCTGCCGATTCTTCTGAAAGTTTAAAACAAGATATGACCAGCACACACAATGCATTGCATTTGTTTAACAACATCCCACTCTAACTTACATTTGGTCTTATCAGTTAATCGATAAGAACGTGTCTCACGAAACACAATCAAAGTTGATTTCGTTGCAGTTATTTTGTGGTCTACGTAGGTTAAAGAATAAATGTTAGGCTACTACAGTTATCTAAAAAGCGGATATTTTTTAACTGATTATATTGTAAAGAAAAATTCACTTTGTCGCACTCAAAATTTTCAACCGAAAATACACAAAATCATAACTACATTCTAGCTATAGGAACAGATCAAACATACTCCCTTAGTAGATTTAAAATCTTTTATGGAACAGCTGAAGCCAATTTTATTGTTAGTTCTGTCCGGTGTACTGTAGAGGTCGTGTTTTGTTTACAATTTGTTTCTTGTTAATTCAGTGATTTTCTGATTTAAAACCTAGTTTAACCAAATAAAACGATCTAATCATAAACAATAACTCGTCCATTAGTTATATTACCCAACAGTAAAGCACAAATAATGAAATTAATCCTAAAATAAAAATGAAACCACACATAGTCGACACTAGTGATCAATGTCACCGGGCATGAACTAGACACAAAAACGAGCTTCAAAATTTACAATGGGATGAGAAGTCTACTTGTGATGGTTAGTCCATGCTTTGGGTTTGGTCTTGGTCTTTAATATTTCCATATTCTAAAATACACGCGGTATTCCATCGCGTACATAAACGGACGATTTAAAACACTGATAAATAAGAAAAAAATACTGTAGTCTTGAATGAAGCTTTGACTTTGAAACTCTAGTACCGGTACCCTATTTTGTTTTTACGATTTTCCCTGAAAGTTAAGACTCGATCTCTGGACCCCTCGATCCCAGGTGTTAACCCCAACTGTAATTAAAGGGAGCTTTTAGAGTTCATAAAATATTCAGCGAGCCACGCGCCGCTGAACTGACGGCCAATAATGAACTGTGTGTATGGTGTAAGTTATGACAAAACAGGGACAGTGACGATACAAAGCAGTGTAACACATACATTGACGTCAGCAGCCAGAGTATAATTGGGATTTAAACATGAGATAGGCTCAATGCTCAATACAAATTGAAGTTTAGCTTCGAGTTACGACTGCTTAGGTAGCACAACCACTCCAAAACAATATGACAAAAATATGCCTAGCGTATTAAATATATAGATATGTTGACTGCACTGTGAGTGTAAAAACAAGAAATTAATTATGGAATTGCATAAAAATGAGCACATAAAATCTTATTCTTTGGCCAAGATCAAATATTTATAATGCTTTGAAGAGTCTTTTTGCTTTATAAATACGATATTACGACTTAGGAATAGCTTTAATCTTAGACTTTATAAACTATAAGAGAACTTCTTATTCTATTGGAAATATGAAGCATTTTTCTATGTGTTTTGACAAGGTTACATATTTGAGTATGTGGGTGTTGATTAAATGTTTTGTGTTTATCAGACCTATCAATTAGGATGAAGACACTACTTAGCGTATTTTAACCTGAATTTGAAAAAAGGTTGGATGTAGAATGGAGTGTGATATGATATGTATGTAGCTTTGTGACAAACAATCACCAACGGTTTCTTTGGCCATAACCACTAAAAGCCCTTTGATTAAATAGAACTTACTACACACACTCTAAACAAGTCGCTGATTCGATCCTGAAATTCTACACTCATTTTTCAATACCCTAAAACCGCACCTTTTGCGAGGCTGTCTCTAAAGCAAAGATAGAGGAGGCAACAAAGGGTTATTAAAAAAATATTAGTCCCTTCCTGTAACATTGCGAAGTGGCAAGAGGGTTTCAAGTGCCGTACTCTTCACGCAGATCAGCCTATGTGTACAGATTACATCGGTCTGTATCACCCGTCTTAATCACGTTATCCGCTGTGGTAGTTTCCCCCCTTTCCCACTCATCCCTTACCACACACACCCCTAACCATGCTAGGGTGTTACTTGCCACATTTTGGAGCCTTTTACAGCCCACGGACCATAAAGTCCACTTCTAGATGAAGAATTGCATGGGCGTAACGGCTCCAGTGCTTCTGGTCTAATAACATTACTACTTGCTCCTGATGTTACGGGTTAAAATCCCTCATCGGCGGCTAGCTACTTTATTAATCATTTCAATCTTCAAACCCCACATTGAAATGATGTTTCTATTTAGGAGGTTTCTTTTACGTGATGTTATGTCACTGGTTAAAATTCCTCGACTACCATTGACGTTTAGTGGTTTTATTACACATTTCGAGCTTCGAACCCAACCATGAAAGGAGGTTTTAGAATTCTCTTTTAGGTTAGTGATTGCGATCGCGACACCTGATAAAAGTCAGGAGCTTTTTAATGGGTTGGAATTCGACCCAGCTGTCCCTGATCATTTGGCTTTTGATATGGTCCTGACTCAAAAAACATCTGGTCTTAGTCAGTAACAAATCTACATAGATCATATAATTCCTATACAGTTTACACTCATATGCATTCTAATTCAACAATATGCATCGAGTGCGACACTATCTCAAATAATTGAACCTCTATGTAAAATTACACATTGTGATGTAATTTGTACGCTTATGGTGAGGCGGTGGGTGTATTTATGGTAAACTCTCCAATGGTCTTAGGTACCGTTTTTTTTTTTTTTTTTTTTTTTTTTGCCTACCTAATGATCAGACTTATTTTAATCAATGCTACGGCGGGAGTAGATTGACTTGGATTGGTGTGAAACGAAATGTTTGATTTGATTTAATTTTTTCTTGGATGAAATTAAAAGTAGGTAGCCCAAAGAGCAGTACAGTATGTATCTTCATTAGTTAAGCTAAGACTGATTGAGCCACTGACAGAAAGTTCTGGTGTTATTTTCTAATTCTTAATCCGATCATTGGTTCACTAAATTTTTACCAAGCCAAACTGAAAGATAGTTAATCTATACATTTTTATGTCACACCAACTACAACTGTAACTACCATAATGCTGACAAATAAGAGATAGAAGAAAACTTTGACGTTAGCGCAATGAGTATCTCACTCAACAACTCAACTATGTTCTACCATAGTCTAACCAACACAAGGGAGTATGTTAATTCTTAATACTTTAATCAAGTATTAATTCTATGACTCTACTTGAACAGAAACAATCTGCTACATCTGACATGTGAGACTCCAGTATTCCAAAGTCAATGGTGGGAGTCAGTAACTGGCTATTTGTAGTCCAAAGTGTACATAATTATCACCCACACAGCTGTTCTGACATGATGACGTCATGGTGATGTCACCCTGTCTCGGTCATCTTTACTAATTACGTTTATTCCTCTAATTGCTGCTATTTTCAGCCACAACTACAAATAAAACTGGCCTTTGTACGTTTGACTTATCAAACAGATTGTGTCACTGGAGTTAATAAAGGATTTCGAGGTTGTACTTTGTAATATAAATGAACTCCTAATAACTTTCATATTCATTGAAAATGTATTTCAAGGTGCAGAACAATGTATATTTTTTATTGTGAACAATATAATTAATGTAATTTACAAGTTTAACTATTTCTTGGGTATTTAAATCTTATAAGGCAAATTTAATCACGCGGTTCGTCAAAAGTTTCAAAATGCAACCTAGAATAACATTAAAACTTTCTATACAAAATAGACGGTTACTACCCCAAAAATCAAAAGTAGATCTACTTAAAATAATTTCGCAAAATAAGTAGATGAGTAGATGAAGCAGGTGAAGCAGGATTATACCATTTCATAAAATGCTTCTTTCGTATCAAAATTCCTATTAATTCGTATCAAAAGCAGAAAATCTTGGATACAGTAAAATAAATAGTTGTGTCCAAAACAAAAACCCCCTTTTATTGGTAAACAAACATACGTTATTGGCAAATTTCTCATCGCATTGTCGAAACGTTTAGTATCAATGTGCACGTTTAGACAAATCAACTTTTAAAACCATTTCACTAGGCTAAATATAAAATAACTATTTGGAAACTAATGGCAGTCCCCTACTTTTGACACTTAAGAGAGAAGCTCAAATTTTAAAACCTTTCCTTGAGAGGAAAAAAAACTACGAGAATAACATGATGTCTACTAGAAACCTTAACGTAGATGCAAACGAGTGTTTCTATCTTATTTTGACAAACACATTTTTAATTAAACCTTGTGTCTAACCCTTTGGAGTTAATACTAGACGACAAGGAATAGTGCCAATAAACAATTTTTATACTGTGCTAAAACAAAATTAGTTGTTAAGTTGATGGAATAACAATAAAAAGAATTTTACAACAAAACACTCTACACGAAAACTGGTCAAAAAGTTGCATTAAAAATATCTTCGGCTAGTCTATAGAAGTATGTTCAATATATGCCATTCATAATGATATTTTTACTAACGAAACAGGTCGTTGATAGATTCACAAAACGTTTGTAATTTAATTACCTATTAAAAATTCAAACTTTTAAATTTTGTTTTAATTTACTGTTTCAATTTGATTTTATTTTACTGAGTTTTTTTTTAGAGTAATAGTAAAGCAGTTACGTCACTGTAAGTGAGAACCATAAAGCAGTTGCCGTATATTATCCACTAATGCTGTCTAGGGTTGTTCCACTTCCGTAGGGTGGCAAAAGTGTATTGGGCAATAAAATAAACAGTTGTGATGTGATAAGTCGTGGATCTGGCACATTGTGTCGTCATATACACTGTCAAACACATATTAACAAATTAAGATCCAGGCCCGGGACAGATTTGTTTAGTTTTTAGTATCTTCTTTGTACATTTTGACAACATACGGAGGTAAGATAACATATTTTGTATAAGGGGTCAAAGGGCAATAATATAGATGTTATTATCTCGAATTGAAAATGTAAAACTCCTATGTAATTCTTATGGAGAATAAGTACACTTTTTTAGTTCGCTTGTTTATGGATATATTTTGACCAAACTTGGCCAATTTATTTATTTTTTAAAGCTATATTTTACCACACATTGTTACCCTCCCTGTATTAGCAAACCT